AACCACTCTAATCCTTTCTAACATTTTAAAACCCTTCCATTGTAATGAACAGAAACAGAACAACTCTGGCGATGTGGTGACAGCTGCTTTTGAATTCAGTTTTTCCCTTTGATAACAGTGCTCTCTTATAATACTCTAGAAACTATTAAAAGAGCAAAATCAAAATATCACCTATACCTTTGTTTAGCAGTTTTGTTGCACATGGAAGATGCGAGGCAGGAATGAAGAAGTTTTAAGTGGGTCAAGGGTTAAAGGAGAGATGCAAGGAATGTAGGGTGTCAACAGAGGAGAGATAGCAGAAGACTGCATCAGCGTTGCACTGTGAATATCATATAGATAAGGCTTGTTGTACGTCCAGGTACCTGCATAAGAATTTGGCTGCATAAATAACAGGAGAGGGAAACAGGAGAGGGTAATGTATGCTGTTTTTTTCTTCCTAAAGAACGTTGTAAATAGATAAGTAAACGCCATCAAGGTTCTCCTGTTCTTGAAGCACAGCGCCCAAAGATTCAAGGTGCATGGATTTTAATTGTATAAATTGCCTCCCTTAAACATGTAGCCAGATCTCTCTGACCACTCCTTCAGCCCGACAGTACAGTGGTACCTCAGGTTAAGAACTTAATTTGTTCTGGAGGTCTGTTCTTAACCTGAAGCACCACTTTAGCTAATGGGGCCTTCTGCTGCCGCCGCGCCACTGCTGCGCGATTTCTGTTCTCATCCTGAAGCAAAGTTCTTAACCCGAGGTAATATTTCTGGGTTAGCGGAGTCTGTAACCTGAAGTGTATGTAACCCGAGGTACCACTGTATCTGAGACTGTTTGTGGACAGGACACAGAGGCTACTCACAGCCAATAGCTTTTTTCACAAAGCCAAATGTGGTAGAACAGAGCTAGAGTTGCCTATGGTACGTGTTTCTTCTACCTCATAAAATAAAATAAAATATAATAATAATAATAATAATAATAATAATAATAATAATTCATTTATTTATTTATTTATACCCTGCCCATCTGGCTGGGCTTCTCCAGCCACTATGGGCAGCTTCCAACAAAATATTAAAATACAGTAAAGCATCAAACATTAAAAGCTTCCCTAAACAGGGCTGCCTTCAGATGTCTTCTAAAAGTCTGGTAGTAAAGCTTTCAGTTAAAACAAATTTTGCAAGGCTTCACAAACCTGCAATGTCTGTTTGACAAGAGAAGATGCTGGGACGAGGCAAATGGGCATGTACCACGGGCCCAACCTTGTTGCTGCCCTGCGCTGCCCCTGCAGCAACCCTGGTCTCATGAGGACAGCTCCACAACTCTGCCTCACCAAGCCAGCCACTACTAACCGTGGACCATTTGTCTGACTCCAGACATCATCATCCCTTACATGGATTTAACTTTGAACCTAACTGCACCCTGAATAAATTGTGTGGACTGCAGTCACATCAGGAGATTGAAACTCTGTAAACTTAGGTGCGGGGAGATTATTTCCCGCAGGATTACAGTGCATGGGCAGCGGTGTTGGGGTCAACCCTGCACCCCAATAGTGATCCTGATGGAAATCTCTTCCTCCCCCACCACCACCACGGCTGCTGCAAATTGCAAATGGAACTAAAGCTCCCATTGGCACCACAAATAGTGTTTGAAATCCTTTGAAAGTGGAGTGGATAATTCATGAGTATACGCTATAGTGATCCAAAATTCCTAATATCCAGAGTTCTTCCTTTCTTATGCATTAGAAAACCATTGTTGTTCTTTCTTTACAAATTCTGAATTTTGTAAAAATGCTGCGTGTGAATACAATTTGCCACATCTTTCTCTTCATTACACCCTCCCCCCCCTTTACATTAACTGTGAGCATGTGCTGATGGAGTCATGCATGTGATTGTATCAATATTCTGTTTGCACTGTGTTCTATAGATGTACATGTGGTACGCATATTGATAAAATGCAGCAAAAATGCAACCCTAGTATGATCAGTTGCATGAATACCCTTTTAGTGTGGTATTTTATCATTGCATCCCATGTGCATGTGCACATCAGTAAAACACCCCACGAAAGGAATCACATCAGTATTTATTTTCACAGTGTTTTATCAGTCTGCATTTGTGAACTGGTAACATACAGGACAGAAAATATTGAAATGAACTGAAGGAACTGAAAGCTGCAGCAAATTTTGCACATTCCAATTCCAGAATTAATTTTACAACTTGACCTAGTTAGATTGGAATTCGGCTGGAGTGGATTGCAGGGCAGCGTGACCTTACCGAACAATAAAGAAATGGAACTGGAAAACACGCTCATGCTCATAGTTTTTATTATTTATTATTTATTCAATGTATATACTGCCCTTTATCCAAATATCTCAAGGGAGTGTACAACATTATAAACATAATTTATATAGCATGATAATAAAAAACAATACAACAATCACAGGGGGGAAATCACAACGACAGACATAGAATCATTGAATTGTAGAGTTGGAAGGGATGCTGTGGATCATCTAGTCCGACTTCCTGCAATGCAGGAATATGCAGCTGTTCCATATGGGATTGAACCTGCAACCTTGCCAAAGGCCTGGGTAAAGAGGAAAGTTTTCTCCTGGTGTCTAAAGACATGTAATGGTGGTGCCAGGTGAGCCTTTCTGGGGAGAGCATTCCACAGATGGAGAAGCACTGCAGAAAAGGCCCATTCTCGTGCTGTCATCCTCAGAAGCTCTTGGGCAGTGTGGACATAGAGAAGGGCCTTGGATGACAACTGCAGGTTCCAGGTGGGTTCATATGGAGAAAGGTGGTCCTTAAGGTATTGCGGTCCTGAGGTGTGTAAAACTTTATAGGTCAGCACCAGCACTTTGAATTGGGCCTGGAAACTAACTGGCAGCCAGCGCAGTTGAGCCAAGATTGGTGTTAAATGCTTAACTCGCCTTGCCCTGGTGAGCCATGGAATTTTGCTTTAGTTGCTTAGACTTTATCATTGCCACTAGATAGAGCTAGCATGGCATGTGGGTTGACTCCCCTAAAAGTTAGTGCAGACCTGAAAATCTTTGTGTCTAGAGCTCTTAAAATCTCCAGTTATTGACGTTTGCAACCTTGGTCACAGGGGTAGTGGCAACTATGCTTGCTGACTCCCTCCAACAGGAAATGGTTGTACCTATCCCACCAGGAACCTCTCCTTGAGTCTCAGGATCTGAACCTCAGGGACCTAGCATCTCACCCAAAGAGGGGTGAGGTGACAGAGAGGGAAAGATGACCTTCTCTGACCCAAGACTACACTAAACACAATGGAAGGACCATCAGTGAGTGCTGTCTGCCAAAATGGGATCCACCACCTTCTGTCTTCACTAGCTTGAGCTTTAAGGTCCAAGAAGACATAAAGCCTATTCTATAGGGAAAATAAAATTGTGGGAAGCACAAGAACAAACAAGGAAGTCACAGAGACATTTCCACTGGCAACCCAATTTTCTTTTTTCTATACTTCTCCAATAGCACTCCTGAAACAAGCTTTAAGGCACCTCTCCAATATGAATACTCATGAGAGGCACAAGACAAGAGGCTATGTTATGTGACCCCTGACGTTTCCTCATTCAATCTTTCCCTCCTTCTTTAAAAAAGCATACCAATTCCAGCACTATACATTATTCCCCTTGCTAACCAAAAGAGCAGAAATGGCAGAGGGTATAATCTGCAGTGACTTTGAGAGGATCAACTGCTTGCCACAGAACAAATTGCCTTCTACACATTATTTTCCACTGACTGGTTTTTATGTATTACTTGCTGTGCTATCTTTGCGATGGGAAAGGGGTGAGAAACTATACTCGATCTTCTTGTTCTTTCTCCCCCTGAAGAACAAGGAGACAGAGAAAGAAAAGATAGTGCATTCTGCACTATTCTGCACTAAGTTCTGCACTAAGTTTCTGTGTCCCACAAAACTCCCTATGTTGCTGTTTGAGGGTGAGGCCATAGGCTCTGAAACATTCCTATCTCTTTCTTTACTTGCCATTCTCTCTGTCCTCCTGCCCACTGCATGAATATACAGTAAATGCTTACTTTAGCACAGAGAGGAAGACCTTGTACCTGCACCCACATGAATTGAAGTATTGCTGGGTCTGTGACGCAGGCATCCCTCAATATTGCATTCTGGATCTTGTCTTTTTGGGCACGAAGACGGTGACCTTGAAATCAGCCCCTTGTCATTGTCTTCCTGCTGAGCTTTAGGCTTTCAGCACCTTTTCCCCTCTGCAGAGACAGGGGATCTATTAGGATGGTCCACCCTTGAAGGTTGATGGATCTGAATGGTTTCCAGACAGCTCTGGGGGGTTTTCCAGCTGATATGACTGGCACTCCTGTTGAAGCCCTGATGATCTCCAAGAAGCAAGAGACAGCTTGAATGCAAGTGGAGGAAAACTCCAGTTGAATAGAACCAAAGTGCGCATTTTCAAGCTTACTCAGTGGCAGTGGAGGCAGCAAAGAAGGCATAGTTTACTACCTCCATTGCATCCTCACTATGCCATCCAGCACATCTTTTCCGGGTAGTGTGGAGCCTTTTGCAGACTGGTCCAAAAGAGGTGGTAGAATCAATGGTAGCTTGCTGTGACTTGTTTGGCAAGCATTTTGAGAATAAAATCACTTGCATTCATCGGGACCTTGACTCTGCAGTTATAGTGGTTGAATCTCAAGAGATGTGCAGGGCACTGTCTGGTCTGTTTTGTTGGATGAGTTGCAGTTGATGCAGCTCAAGGATGTGGACAAGGCACTTGCATCAGTCTGGGTGACTACCTGCACTCTGGACCCTTACCCCTCTGATAAAAATCCAGCAGGGAAGAGACAGCTGCCTGGAGTTCATCTCCTGGCAGTTCCTGCCTTTTTGAAGGAGGCAGTGATAAGGCAGTTCCTTAAGAAACCATCCCTAGATTCTGAGAATCTTAGTAATAATCTGTGGCCTGTTAAATGTGGTGGATGGACTGTGTTAGTATGATTATTATGCTCTGTATTATTATTATTTTCATTATGCTGCGAAAATTACATTCTTAATGTTCTACACCACCCTGATATCTTTAGCTAAAGAGATCAGGGTGGTGTACAACATTAGGAACATAAAGGCAGTATAAAAACAAACAAACAAACAAACATGCTCTTGCACCCCCATTTTGTGAATGCAGTTCATGATCAAGGAATTTTCCTTTCTGGAGGCACTAAAAAAAAGTTTCTCCAAAGCTGCATGTTGCTGCCAGATGTTTCCACAAGACTTCAAAACATTGAAGTTATTTGTGTGCTTTGGCATACATGACTTCATCCCTAAAGACTATTTCAGGAGGCTCCTCCTCCTTAATTAAGCTAATTAGCACTCTGCTGTGTCCTTTGTAAAGCTATTCTATTGTCTTCCTCCTCATAGCATTTCAACTATTCATGAATCTTACAGTGTTTTGAAAGGTTCTCTTCAATGAAGCTTAACACCTTTGAGCATGATCTCACTCTGACCCTCTGGAAAGGTCTTGGTTTTTCTACAGAAGAAGTACAGAAACCTGCAGTGTTTTGACAGTACAGATCTAGCAACTAGGGACTGGTGTCACCAAAGGAAAATGTTCAAGGGTTTCCGTTGGCACTACATTAAAGGAAGAGTGGGAGATATCCTAGGCAGACTGACTCTTCAGGGTAATCTTCAGATATTATAGCATCCATATCAACTGTGGGTCTGTCCTAGATAACAGGATGTAGAAGATCTGATGAAACCTAATTGTAAGGAACAGATTTTAATCTGATGTTACGCGTTTGTCTCACTGCACATTGGGCCAGCGGGACGTGAGACACAGTCGGCTCTTCTTTCGTTGCGCTCTCTTCAGCAATCCTGAGAGCTGTATGGATTCCAGAGGTGGTAGCCAATGCCAGTCCTACTCAGAGTATGGCCACTGGAATCAATGAGCACAACAAACTTAGGTTCATTAATTAGAATGGATTTAACTGGATGCAACCCAGGTATTCTATATCATCACAAACAGCATACCTGCAAAATGAATACACATAATCTCAGGTTTAAACCATTTAACTTCTAAAATTAGTTACTGGCTTTCATAATTTTTGCCTTACATCATTTAGATCCAACTATCTTGTGTGTACATTACAATAGTGAGCACAATTTACTGCTTTTTCAACACCTCTCTTGCTTTTAAGAATGACTAAGGTTCAAGAAACAGTCTCACTTTTGCCAACATAAGTGTCCTGGCTCTTCCTGTCCAATGAAACTCACAACTCCAGTTTTGCCAAAAGCTTTGCAGGCAAGGCAGGTGGGGGACTGGGTAAACAAACAGGCACTCCTTCTGGTGGGCTGGCTAGTTGAGATTCATGTGCAATGGCATTGCCATTTTCTTGGCAATGAATGTGGGGTGGGTGCCAGTTTTGTATTTTTGTAATGTTTTGTTTAAGTTTTTTTGTTGCTTCTGTTTCCTGCACATTGCTTAGATATATTTTTTAGTATATTAAGTGGTATAGAAATTAAACAATTAATCAATAATCAACCATTCTGTTCAGCATCAGATTTACTTCTGGCTCCAGAAGCGGGAAGCCTGGTATGACAGTGAAAATATTTGCCTTTAGTTTGTACTTTTGGTGCTCATTTTCATCTTGCCTGTATAGAGATTCAAAACAATTACCATCATCAGCTGGGGAGCTGAGGTTAAGAGATGTCTGAAATGGGGTTTCAACTAAGATCTCTCAGGATTAGGTCTGCCAGTCTGCTGAAGCACATTGGCCAACATCCAGAAGTCACAGACTCATGCTTTTAATGAGGTTCTTCAGATTTTCTACATTTGCCCATCACTCTTAAAATTTTATAGTTATGTATTTACACAATTTATTATGTATTGCCTGTCGCCCGTCAAGCTATCAATGATGCAGTTTCCCACCTGTGATAGTTCAGAATTAATTCTATGTATGACTTTCACAGCATCAGCCAAATAATAATTAGAACAGGAGTCTTTGAAGCATCATCCAATCAGCAGAATACCTGTGCCCAGTGCTTTTTTTCTAAAAAAATGTTTAGGGGTATTCTCATTTTGACTCAAGAAAATCACCATTTTATAGTTCAAATGGGGAAAAATAAATACAGTAAATGTACAAAGTACAAAGATTCCCAAAATGTTTAGGGGTATACATACCCCTGCGTCCCCCCAGGAAAAAAGCACTGCCTTTGCCTCTCTAATGAAGTTGTAAAACTTTGTTTCCAACCTACACATCTAAAAGAGGGGTACCTAAACTGTGGTCTTCTTGACACTGTTTGGTCCAACACCCACTAGCCCCAGCCAGCATGGCCAGTAGCCATTGATTATGGGATTTGGAGCACGACAACCTCTGGAGGGTCACAGGTTCTCCATCTCTGACATAAAACACAATGCAGGTTATTTTGTGGAGTGAGTGAGTTATGAGCAGGGCTTTTATTCAGCCGGAACTCACCGGAACTGAGTTCCGTCACCTCTCAGGTGGGGCGCCATTGCCATTATAAGAGAACAAGGGAGGCATTCATGGTGAGTTCTGGCACTGCTTTTTCTAGAAAAATAGCACTGGTTATGACACTTATAAACTTTCATTTGCTCAAAGGTTCCAGGGCAAGTTACAAACAATTTTTAAAAAATCTATATGAAAGCATGCAATCTAAAATAAGAATAAAAATCATACTAAAAGCAGCAGCAGCAGCATGAGGGAGGAGCACCAGCTAAAAATATCTCACCTCACCCCTTCACAAGCCTGAGCAAATATCATATGTCATCTGATTTTTACCTTTGCTAGTTTTTCCCCAAACCTCAAAATGTACCCTTCAAATGGCTTATCTAACAGAAGAAAACAGGAAGGAAGGACACACACAAACACATGCAAAAGATGGTAATTACTGATTTGCAGTTTTCTAGTGAACTGTGAGCTAAGCGAGCAATGCCTTTAACAAAGGACACATTTTTAATAGATTAAAAAGTAGGACACTGGGCAGATATGCAGAGCTTTGGGGCCCATTTTGGCCTTGTTTTAATGTCTGCAGCCTTCACACAGAATATGACTTAAGCTGGCTGTGTCATCTCGGGTCCGTTTTCAAAGCCTCTCACGTGCTCTCCTTTCCTGGTCACTACAGGTAAGAGGCTGCAATGATGTCCCAAAATATAAGCATAGGAGAGTTGGTGATGAAGGCTCATACTGCAAAGGCAGAAACTCCTATAAAACAAATTCTCCTATATTGTGGAAAAAGTATGCTTGGCTGACTGCTACCTCACCAGGAAAGGGCGGTCAGAACCCTGAGTCAGCTTCAGGTTCTCATATCAGTATAAACAGTAGCATCAGGTGCCAGAGAAACTGTAATAAGAAAAGCAGGACGGGCTGGGTGTTTCTCCCCCCACTTTTTTGTGAGTGTCTTTTTCCACATGTCCCTGGTAAGATTGCCAGACAAGGGGAAAAAATTCTGGCAGTCATTGTGGCTGTGAAGTAAATAAATATGGTCAATCAGACCTTAGAATAATTCGTCGGCACTACCAATGGAAATAATTTTGGATACAGTCTACCAAGTAGAGCTCCTTCCCAAAATCCACTGAAATGCAGCACAATTTTGTGGGATCTGTGGGAAGCTGTTCCGCCTCATTCTACAGTTCCTCTTTATCCAGGCTTAGAACATGCTAGCCTAGGAAAATGCATAATCCCCCCAAAAAATCTATTGCTCCATGTGTGTTTCACAACTACCCTGCCATGGTGCTTTTCAGCATTTTTTATTTGCATTGCCTTTCAGATATCCAAAATGTGAAAATAAATATTGCACCTGAAAAATATCAGCAAGTTTGCTTATAGACAACTGCAGTGTGATGTCCATGCTTCAACACCTGTTCTGGCTGCTACCTTGTTTCTGGGCACAATTCACTGTGCTGGCTATGACTCAGAATACAATACATGATTTGGGATTGGTTTACCCGAAAGGCCATGCTCTTTCATTTGAGTCTGTATGCCCCAACATCTGAAGCATTTTAAGTAGGTGCCTGAGACAGGGCCTTCTCAGTGGCTGCTCCCACACTCTGGAGCTCCTTGCCAAGACAGGCCCATCTAGCCTCATCCCTGATAATAATCTACTGGCAAGTGAATGCATTTTTATTCAGTGAGACTTTGGGTCTCATGTTTGGATTACTGTAAATGTTGCCATTTGATCACCTGACTGTTCTTATTGGCTTTGTTAATGTTTTGCCTGTTTTTATGTTTTCATTTTTACTTTGTATTTTACTGTTAGCTGCCTTGAGCATCATTTGCTTAAAATATGGGGTGCAAATTTAATAAATAATTGTGTGGCCATTGCTTTAGAACCTTTGGCCTTCCAAACATTGCTGAAGTAAAACTCCCATCATCACTGGTCATTGGACGTGCTAGGTAGGGCTGGACTCTTAACGTCAGTGGAAATACTTGAAACAGTCATCTTAAAATATCAACACAGGTAAGGGCAAAAAGAGCAATTGCTATAGAATTCATACTTTTCATTTATAATTCTTTGGCCATTCACAGCAAATCTAAGGCTCTGCATTCAGTTGTTGATTTCAGAAAAGTAAAGACCAGAAAAGAACTTTTTTAGTCTTGGAATAATGGTAACTGTAGTTTCATGAGTGGAATGAACACAAGTCCCCTTCATACAGCTAGATTATAGAACAGAAGCAGTAAGGAAATCATCACAGTTCTAGCACACATGTGGTAAAGCATGTTAAGGATGATTTCTTTTTTAAAGGCCTAGGTGAATTCCAAGCATTTGCTGTCTGTCTAGCTGTTCTGGGTTTCTTTCTATTAAAATCGAATAATCACTCAAAACTGGGTACAGAAGAATGCTTGGATCACAAGAAAAAATGCCAGAAGAATCCAATGAAAGTGGAAACAGCAACAACAACTGCTGATGCTCATTTATTTGTCCCATCTCTGGAAATCAATCCTACAAATCAGATCAGTATTCACTATTGTTGCTGCTTTCAGTCAGCAAATGATACACAGTTTCCACCCATTTGCATTGCATCTCCTTTGTATGGAAATGAATGGGGTGGAATAAAGCAATGTCAATGTAATTATGCAATTTCACCAACAGTGGAAAGACAAATAATGTAGTTTGGGGCAGAAGACAAACTGCTGTGGCGTGCAAGCAATGCTGCATGCAACAAATAAGCAGAATGGAAAATGGTGCCTTCTTACACCCCTGATCACAAGACACCTGTTCTCATTGAGATAGTAAGCCACTGTCTTGGCTGTACTGTTTCAGTTTGTAGGTGAGGGCTTGTATGTCTGAATGGTCTTACATACAAATAAATAAATAAATATCCTCCCACAAAATAAATGTTTCAGCCTCAAGGATTTAAACACAAAATAAATATGGGAAAGCATTTAACCATGTGAACCACCACCTGCAGTCTGAAATGGTACAGACCAGACACATCAGCATTGCTTCTCACCTCTGAGGCAGAGTGCATTTGGCACCAGTTTTCTAACCTGCTGTTAGCCAGTTAACCTGTGTCTGAAATACCCTCAGTGTGAGAAATGAGTAGAGAACAGAAACCTTGTTTGCTGTTGCTACAATCAAGGGATCCTATTCCCCTTCAGTTGCGGGGAGCACCTTCCTATGGGCAGTACATGAAGGGACTTTTCACAGTTAAAATTCTAACAAATGCTTTTCGTTTTTCTTTTTAAATATTTTTTTTTAATTAAAGATTTTCTTTTCTGTGAAGTCAAGTGATGTGGCCCTATTGAATGAATAGAATTAACAGCAGCCCTCAAAACTGTTTTGAGTTGTGCTCTCCTGGAAGCACATTGTATAAGAAATCTTATTGAAATACACACATATCCAGCAAAGCAGGCAAAAAGTCATGTTTGTAACGCTACATAACCCCGGATATTAGATTCATTAAGACCCCAGAAGTTTGGGATGAAGCACATAAGGCTTTCTTTCTATTTATCTCCATTTGACAAAGTTCCTCTTGATTCTGGCGCTTCAGCTAAAAACTTTCCATGTTGCTACCATGCTAAGAGGAGCTTGACAGAAACTTAGCCAATCTGCACTGAACTTTAAGTTCTCAAAATGTGGATACTTTGGGGATATATGTTGTGACAATGCCAGATGCTACTCCTTAAGTGCGAACCATAGGCACATTTCTATAAAGTAAATCTCACCATCTTCCAGTAGGGCTTTCTCCTGATTAAAATGTGCATAGGATGGCAGCCTTTGCCTTTACTAAATGTGAAAGTGTTTTCTAAACTGCAGGAAAATATAATTTGAACCATTTCAGATTATCTTTGGTCATAATTTTCCACTGGATCTCCCTGGAAAGTGGAATTTGGCTTGCTCCTCACAAATCTGGGCAAACCTCCTTCACTTCTCCTAAAGGAAGACCTATCCTACACAGGGTGGACCTATATCTATTTATATATACAGCATTATATGTATACATCGCACTGTGCTGAATGAGATTTGTTTCCAAGTTGAAACCTGCCGTCTGGCTGCCACCCAGCGCAGTTACATGGGAGTAGACCCCGCCAAAACGAGAGGGCCTTACTTCCGAGTAAACACGCCTGAAAAAGAGCGCGTCGCAAAACAAGCGCCACTTTTTCCTTCCTCTCCCCCCCCCCCGCCAAAACGCGGGGATAGCAAGCACAGGAAGGGTCGAGCAAAGGAAAAGAGCAAGAAAAGTATTGGTAGGTAAATGGAGGGTGGAAGAGAGAAAGCGAGCGAGCAAGCCAGCCGCCGTGGCCAAAAGGGGGGATTGCGAAAAGCAGGAGACTGAGGCGGCGGCGGCGGCGAAAAGGAGGCCCTTGTTCGGGGCTGCAGTTGCCGCTCTCAGTCAACAGGTTGCACCGTTCCCCCTCGGCTGCCCCGCAATGCGCGCTCTCTCCCTCCCTGGACACGCGCTCTCTGCTATGCTGCGCCCGCGAGCGGCCGGGCGGGCGCGAGCGCCGCTTCCCTTTCGTCTCTCTCTCTCGCTCGCTCTTTGCATGTCTGCGGGGCGGGGGCGGGGGAGGGGACGGAGGGAGCGAGCGAGCGAGGGAGAGAGAAGGGGGAGGAGGCAGCAGCCTCTGCTGCTAGCGCCGCCGTCCTCCATTTTGTGGCTGGGGCAAAGCCGTAGAGGGGAGCGCGGACGGTGCGGCGGCTGGGAGGAGAGGAGGGGAAGGGAGGAGAAGGAGAAGGGGGAGGGCGGGACGCTGGGTGGGTGTGAAGTGCAGAAGGGGGAAGGCGGGGATGCAGAGGGGGCAGAGGCTGGAGGAGAGGCAGCGGGGCGCGCCAAGTGGGGCTTTAATTAATTGAGGGGGGACAGGAGAGTGTGTGTGTGACAGACAGACAGAGAAGGGGGGGGAAGAAGAGGAGCCGGTGAGGGGGCCGCCTCTGCTGCTGCTTCTGGCGCCTGTGTGCGTGTGTGGGGCGAAGGGAGGGGGGCGGCTGCATTCTCATCTGCAAAGGGGCGGCAGCTTTCGCCGCCGCCCCACACCCAATCCCGTCGCCCCGTAACTCTCCTTCCTTCCAGTCTCTCTCCCCCCCACCTCCGCCCCGCGCCTTCCAAGTTGTTTATTCGCTTGGCTCTGTGGTGCCGGAGCCATGGAAGTTGGCGGCTAGAGGCGTCCCAGCGCCCCCACTGGATAAGGTAAGGGGTGGCTTCTTCTCCATGTCCGCCCGCCTGGCTGGCTGGCTGTCGAGACGCGGCGGGGGCGGGTGGGGGCCGAGGAATGGCTTCTACTTTTAGGATTCTCGAAGGGAGGCGGAGGGCGACGGAGGGAGGGAGAAGGCGGCGGCGGCCTGCTCTCCCCCCCCCCCCCGTAGAGGTCACCCCCCTCCGTCCCTTCCTCAGTAATGTCTGCCCGTTTCGGCTTCTCCTTCTCGCCCGCCCTCCTTCGACCCGCTTCCCACCGCCGTTAAGACCAGGCGATTTGTTGCTGAGGCGTGAGGCCAGATATTTTTTTTGGGGGGGGGGGTTGGAAAGAGATGAGGAAAGGAAGATTGGAGGGAGGGGGAGAAGCGCTGCTCCTCGTCTCAACTTTAAAGTCGTCCACGTTAAATTTGGACGTCAGAGAAGGGGTGTGCGTGTGTATGTGTGTCTCCCTCTCGCACACACAATATGCGTGTGCGTGCGTGGGGTGGGAAGAGGGGGGGCGCGGAAACTGGTTCGCTATCCTATTTCACAACCTTCTCTGGCCAATTTCAATCCCAAAAGGATGATATGCCCAATATAGTATCTCTTTTCTGAGAAATGAAATTTTGTTTAATGATAAAAAGTGCTATAATTTATTGCCCTCCTCGCCCAACTTGCTTCCAGTTGATTTGTGTGTGTGTGTTAAAAAATGAACATCTGTTGTTGAGAATCGGGTTTTGGTGGTTGTTTTTTTTAATTTTGAAGGCGCTCACCCTCCCCCGTCGTGTTTTTTGTTTTTTGTTTAGTTGACGGGGCCCCAAGGGTTTGGAAACCAAGAAGTCGTCGAAAACTCGGAGTTGGAGTTTTTGAAGCAAAGGGCTGGTGGGCGTGCCAGGCAAAATGCTCAACAGGTCCCAACACATTTTTCTTTTCTTTTCGAAATCTACTTTTTGAAAAGGAGAATTTCAACTCAGAAAGAAGGTGCTTAGATATATTTCCTCGGGGGCGGAGAGGAGCTGTATCGTGATAGATTTTCCCCCTTTGGCGTTGCCTATGATTTAATGGCTTTTGCGTCTGTGCAAGAGAAACCTGTGAAAATGTGGTAACTCCAGTTGTTCCCCTTGTCCTTCCCTTTTTTCCCTCAAAACTATGCAACTGTGTGCTTTTTTTAATTACATGATGGCCTTTTTTTTTTAAGTGTCTCATGCAACTTTTGACAAGAGTAGGCTGTTTCTCTTTTGCATTATCCCTTTTTGTTTTGGCTTGGGAGAGAGCTGTTAGGAAAGCTTCCTATCCTTTTAGCACCTTTTACAGCTTTCAGTGTTTTGGGGAAATCTATGCAGTGCCCTGAAAGGAGAACTTAAAAGAAACTAAATACACATTGTTAAATTTCTCTGCTACTTTAAGAGTAAACTTTTTTCCATGTTGGCTTCAATGTCCTTTTGACACCTGGTCATTTTTGTCCTAATTTGACCTCCTGATCAATTATTTATGGAAATGCAATTATTTCTACACAAGCATCAGCAGTTTTTAGATGCATCGACATATGCCGACTTTAGTTTTTTCTCCATGCAAGTTGATACAAGATATGGAAGGTTTAAAATTTAAAAGGAAACTGTCTGTCTCATTTCTTGTAAGGATTTCACTACAAATGGCTTACTTTTTATTTTACCTTCTCCAGGAATAATATGAAATGTAGAGGATTAAATGTGTGTGTTCTTCTCCACACACTTATTTTTAAGTATACATGTCTACATTTTACAATCTACTATTTGAAATTGACCATGGCCTTGGATTAAAGTGGAACAACATATTTCTAAAATTGTATTTTTACAAAAACCTGGTGAAAGTGGGAGAGAGAGAGAGCCATTTGGAAAGTCACTAGTATCACCTGGGAATTCCCCCCCCCCCCCCGGCAAAGTTGGTACATTAGGCAGTATTGAAAAACCTGGGTGGTGTGTTAAGTGAATGGGAATGGAAGTTGTCACATAGATTTTTTGCAAGTATGTATGCAGTAGTAAACAATATTTATTGCATCAGTGACAAATATTACTGGCATGTTCCGGTTGTGATGAGTTGATGTTATTTTTATTAGTTTAATATGCTTTTACTATAACCTAGATTGAGAAAAGCTTGGAAAAATTCCAGCCCTTTGGATGGATTGGGTTAGAAATTCATTCCAGTATTGAAAAGTGTTAATCTAATGTCTACCGTTTTCTTGAATATGTGTCTGTTCTTTCAGTGTTGGAGCTTCAAGGGCTTTGGATTTGCACTATTCAAGTTTTATGCTAATGGTGAATATTTCTCTTTCTTTATAACCAGTATTAAAATAATGGAGCCCAAAGAATCACTGAAGTCCTCTGGAGGGGAGGAAGCAGGGAAAAGTGCTCACTTCCGTGACAAAGGAGGAATTGTGATGGACTTCCATCCATCCTTTAGGGGAGGAGCTACTGCCAAGACTCCTGCAGCTACGTCTCCTTTGCCTACCCCTTCTCAGTCTGATTCCAAGCAACTGCCTGCTGTGTCTGACTTGTCAAAGGGATTGGGAAGCAATGTGCCGCAGCCAGATCTGTCTAAAGCAGTGTCGCTCTCCATGGGACTGTATATGGGGGAGACAGAGGCAAAAGTGATGGGAAACGAACTTGGATTTCCTCAGCAGGGCCAAATCAGTCTCTCTTCGGCAGAAACGGATTTTAGGCTCCTGGAAGAAAGCATTGCAAGTTTGAATAAATCCTCTAGTCAGGCAGAAGGCTCAAAGGGTACTGCATCTGGGGATGTGCCTCTAGAACAAGAGTTCCCAAGCATGGCTAGTCATGATCTCACTTTAGGGCAAGGGGCTTTAGCGCAAAGCCAGGTTGGCACTAATGGTGGCAACTTGAAGCTGTTTCCTGAAGACCAAAGCACCTTTGATATTTTGCAGGATTTTGATTTGCCACCAGTGTCTCCAGGAAAAGAAACAAATGGGAGCCCTTGGAGAATGGACCCCATGCTGGATGACAGCAGCTTGCTTTCACCTCTTGGTGATGAGAGTTTTATGCTGGAGGGAACTGAAATGGAGGACTGCAAGCCTCCGATTTTACCAGATACTAAGCCTAAAATTAATGAGTGTGGGGATCTGTTGCACAGCTCCACAGTGAAGTTGCCACAAGTGAAGACTGAAAAAGAAGATTTTATTGAACTGTGCACCCCTGGGGTAATAAAGCAAGAGAAAATAGGCACAGTTTATTGTCAGGCTAACTTCTCTGGGTCAAATATGCTTGGAAGTAAGACATCTGCTATTTCGGTTCATGGTGTCAGCACGTCTGGAGGACAAATCTACCACTATGACTTGAACACAGCATCTGTCACTCAACAGCAGGATCAGAAACCAGTTTTCAATGCCATTCCATCTCATCCTGCTGGTTCAGAAAATTGGAATAGGTGCCAGGGATCTGGGGATGATGCTCTTACGTCAATGGGGGCTTTGAATTTTTCTGGCAGACCTGTCTTCTCTAATGGGTTTTCAAGGTAAGAGATGTTTTTGTTCTAAACTTATTACAAGGATAGTTATTTCAGCAATGTTCATTTTGTCTCTTCCTGTAGTTAGAAAGAGAATAATAATTTCTCGTGCTTGTGTGCATGAATTAACACATTGCAATAAAGAAATTACTTTTATTAAATAAAATGACCATCAGCAGTAAAGGATGAATCATGATTTAAAATATATGTCAGGGAAATGTTAAAATAGGAATGTTAAGCACAAATAGATCTTAAATCCAAATAGTTCATGCAGAAGGCTTTCTACAACTAGCATAACAGTTGACATTTCATTAAAATGGTGTGTGCAACATGCACAGCTTGGTGAATTCCCATCATGTTGTGTTGTGCCTGCTTTGGTGTAGTAACTGCAGCCTATGAAACTTTCAGCTCTAGTGTTCAAAGTAGGATTCCCCTCCGCCTTCCCCTTGATCAACAGTATTTAAAAAAGAAAAGATAATACATTATGTTTCAATCTACATTTTGGTTACCATTGAGAAATGAATCATAGGAAGACTTTATTGTGTTGATAAAAAATGTGGAATAGTCTTTCTTGATAATGCTAAATGTGGAAAATATTTGGAGCAGAAGTTTTTTAAAAGTATGTTTTCATTCCAAGTCTGTATGAACAGAAAATTTATCCAGAACCTAGAAATGTGAAATGTGGTGATAGCAACTTACATTTTTTTCATTGTTGCCTCTCTCACTTTTATTTTAAACTTTCATTTATGCTTTTGTTTCAAGTGATTTAAAGCCTGCACTTTGCTTAAAAAAATTATCCTACATATTGAAATTGCCTTAAGGCTTATCTGAAAATCTTGATTTGTTCTGCATGCATACTTAACAAAATGGTATACAGGTTTTTATTTTGCATTTGATCTGGGACTTCCCTTATTACACCTGGATGTGCATATGCTGGTATGCATGGAGCGGTAAGACATTCTAGGAATTCTGGGGCATGCACCAAGCTCCTGTTCCTTATAATGTCCTATTTTCAGTCTTGCCCATCGATTCATGCTGCAGGGACGGATAGGGAATCTCATTGCTCATGGGAATCTCATTGTGAACACCATACTGTACCCCTTCACGTGGAATGTTTGCAACTAGTATGTTTTGTTTTATGATATTATAATGAGCAACAGTTTGTACTGCATGTTTTTGGAACATTTTTGAGGAATTTCTGCTGAAGAAGAGGGGACTTGTTGCTAGGCTGCTTTTTATCATCAAGTTACTTATACAGTTACTACAGTAAATGTCACTCAAGAAACACGGTGAGAAACTCATGAGACTTAAATACTGTAGATACTGTGATTTGAGTTATTCCTTTTGATAAGAATATTGGGGGGGGAGAGAATTAGATATATTTTTCCAATATATTTTAACATGAATGCCATGTAAAATCTATAAAATATACATTAAATGGTAAACTTGTACCTAGGAGTTTTTTTGGGGGGGGGGGGGAGTTTAGTGGTAATATTTATCCAACTGATGGCATTGCCTGGCATGTCTGAAATTCTTGCTTGTGAAATGCTATGCTTTGAAATATGAAAGCCAATGATTGCTGACTTCTTTTTTATGCCATCCCAATCTACCGGTATTTCTGATATTTAATTTAAACGGTGTATTTAGAAGTTGCTTTTATTTCAGATTGTTCTGCAGTTTATTTATAGGAAAGCAGCACTAATGTATACATAGTTCAAGCAACAAATACGTTGTTCAGAAAATGTTAAATTGCTTGTGCAAGCTCCTCAGGTCTCCATAGCACTCCTTCCTTCCTTCCTTTCCTGCATGGAATAGGAAATGAACCAAAGACTGGCTTATATATGTGAACCAGCACTCATTGTTTGTTTCTCTCCTAACAAACCATGATAGTGATTCAAGTATGAACATTGGTTCACCATCAGTTCGCTAGGAAAAAAGTGTACGTAATGACAGCCCAGCCTCTAGTTAGTTTCCTCTTCCACGTGCTGGTGGAGCACCATGGTACTTTTGAGCAGCGTACACCAGCACACTACATGCTTGCTTCAATCCTAATGATTTAAGGTGACATGCAAACCAGGCCAAAGATCCTCATGGCACTTTAAAGGCTGACTAATTTAGGACGGCAGGAGTGTTTCTAGGCTGGAATATATTTCATCATCCAGAAACTTTGACTAGGATTTGCTCATGACATGGCCATCTGATTCAGATAAAATTGACATAGCTAACAATATTTATACTTTTTAATGCTGCACAGCTGAACTCTTGTCTAATACAACCTTTAGAACAGAGTGAAAATTAATTATGTAAAATTATGAAAATGTTTCTTTTGTAGGACATTGTTGAAACAGTGAATGTACTTGACTGGTTGACGTTTATTCCAATTAGAAGTTTATTCCAATTGGTAGAAGAACTAAAGAGCTCTACAAAATCAATAGCAGTGTTTTGATGAATAACTTGTTTTTCAAGTGGGACGTGCATATTGAGCCAGTAACTCATACTTTCAAGTTTTTCAGCATGATACAGTTGCAATCTTAGTCCTAATTACCTGGGAATAAATCACATTAAATTTAATAGAATATCCTTTTGAGTATAGGCTTACATGGTTAGCAATATAGTCTACTGGAGTGGCAGTCTTTAACTAACTGCTCACACATTTTCATTGGCAAGGCTGTAAGTTAAGGGCACAGTTTGATTTGATATTTGGTGGAGAGCTATTTTGTTTGTATTATAATACTATATTAGGATATTTAAAAAGGAAATATTAAATATGGTTTTATTCCTAAGTGCTTACAGAGCATTTTATTGGTTTAAATGTAAACACTTCAGACATCATGCCAACCCCTCATTAAGGATGCTCTAGTTATGGTTTGGTGTGATGTCCAGATTAACAACTGCTTTAACAGTAAGCCTGCCTTTAAAGGCAGTTCCACCACAGAAAAGGGACACTAAGAAATGGAAAGAGAAAACCCAAAGTAGCTCTAGGTCAGGGGTAACCAACATGAAGCCTTGCAGATGTTAAAGGAGTTGAACTTCCATTATGCTAGACCATTCACCATGCTGACTGGGACTAATGGAAGTAAGGAGTCCCAACAATATCTGAAAGGCACCAGTTGGGTACTGCTAATTTAGACTAAGATGTGGCCTTCATTTTAATAATAATAATAATAATAATTTATTATTTATACCCCGACCATCTGGCTGAGTTTCCCCAGCCACTCTGGGCAGCTCCCAATCAAGTATTAAAAACAATACAGTGTTAAATATTAAAAACTTCCCTGAACAGGGCTGCCTTCAGATGTCTTTTAAAGATAGGATAGCTACTTATTTTCTTCACATCTGAAGGAACTTATTTCCTTCACATCCTTCACAACAGTTGCTGCAAACAGTGGTTTAGCATCTTTCTTAACTGAATTTCAGCAGAAATATGAAGGCCTAGGGGGCAATAGAGGGGCTGTTATTTTCCAGTTTCCCCTCTTTCCTATTCTGAAGGGTCTCAGGTTTAAGTAATTGTATTTCATCTCTGTGTGTATTGTTGCAAGGATGATATTAAAGGTTTTAGTCTGTTGAAATGGGAAAGCCATACGGTAGGATTACAAACCAAATAAAAAACCATGGCTTGCAAAATAATGGCAAAATTTAGTTTGTACTATAGGGGAAGCAAATAATTGAAATGGGGAAAAAATAAGCCTTCAAATGATGGATTGACATTGTGCGTGAATGAGGTTCTGCAGCAAGGATAGTCTCCAGAGTTTGTTGGAGTACAGTTCCCATCTTCTGGAGCAAGGATGGCTAGTAGTCAGAGATGGTAGAAGTTATAGTTCATATGAACACCACAGATTCCCCATTTCTGATCTATACAGCAAATACTAATGATTGTATATGCATTTTGGAACATACCTAGGCCAGTCTGCTGAAAGAATAAACCAGTATCATTGTGGAAGTATATAGCTAATCTGTCTATTATTAAATGTACTTTTTAAAATTTCAAATACAGCTTTCATTTTAAAAGATTTCTGAAGGTACCTCCAACTTGCTAATTACTAGTTGTGTAGATTTCTGCCACATGTGATGTATTATTTAGACTTAACATTTCATGATTTGATATCTGCTCTTATATCTCGCGTGCTTCTCCATGTATTGTTTAATTTTTTAAAAATAGTTATTCTAGTCTGTCATTATGCTTCTCACTTCCTATCCAAGCACATCTGATTTCTCTTGTAAAAGTCACTTTGACAGATTCATTTTGGAGCCCTTGTGAAACCTGATCAGATGCATGCTTTCTCAGAAGTAAAGCTGGGCCAGTTCAGGCAGAAACAAACGTTAACAACCCTTAGGGTCTCACACTGTCTCTTATCTCTTTCATTGCAGCTGTGATGAGACTGAGAGCTGCAGTATGTTTTTTTGATTAACTGAAGTTTAATGTTCAGTTTAAACCCTAAAATGTGTTTTAGACTATGGTTAATAACTAATCTTAACCTAATGCCTGACATTGACTTGTTTCATTCAAACCATAGTTTCATCATGTTGGTTTTGCACAAAACAACAAATAGCAGTTAATTAAAACTGGGACACAAGTTTCCAGTGCCCTCTTTGCAGTTGTACTGGAGGGAGAGGAAACATGCATGAGCCTGAGAGTTGCTGGAGCTTTTCCTACCACGATACACATCTTACTGAATTAAGTCTTGCTCCCAAATAAAAGTACAGCCATAACTAAATCTAAATGAAGACTCTTGCGGCACCTTAAAGCCTAAAAAAAAAATATTATATAAATTTCATGGACTGTGTGCATGCTACAATAAATCTGTTAGCAGAAACAACAGTCTTTTGATACTGCAAAGGCTATTACAGACATGAGTGCCCTACGAGAAGTTGTTACATAGTTTGTAGGTAAAGCAACAAGAGTAACTGCTATAGTAGGTTTCATGACAGTTGTTAGCATTTGAACTCTTTTAAGAGTTGTTGGTGTTATACCCATGTTGCTCCATGGCATGATAAAGCCTGAAGTGGGCTGTATAGAACACTCAAATTCAAGATGCATTTCCATTCCAGTGTCATTCAGATGTTGTTTAACCACAACTTCCATCAGCCCCAATAGTTAATAATAATAACAATAATAATAATAATTTATTTATTTGTTGTTGTTGTTGTTATTCCCCGACCATCTGGCTGGGTTTCCCCAGCCACTCTGGGCGGCTAAATAACTGAAGAGCACCAGGGTTGGGAGAAGAATATTCAATACCACTTAGAAAGATTTAGGAAGAATAAGCAAGTGTATGTGTGCGTGCATATGTTTATATTCAAAACAGTATCATTAATATCCATTTAATACCCAAAGCTTAATACCAGATTGGTATTGCCTAGTTTTAGCAGGTGAAAATCATTTCATGGAAGTCCTAGGATGTACAGATTTGCATTTAGCCTTTTATTTGTGTTGTATTCTAGATGTGCTACTTTGTTTGCCAGGAATTCACAAAAGGATAAGGGAATGCAGAGAGACAAAATAGTGCAGATGGAATGTGCACTGCTATGTGAAAGGGGCACAAAGTTTTCCCAAGTTAGTATTCTATGCATGACAACTGCCTAAAAATGGCTTCAACTAATCTGAAGGTTTGTAGTGGATACTAGAGTGGTTCCTGTGTAAAGACAAACTAAAACAATTTGTCTTACTATGGGGAACACCATTCTGGTATCTGGAGATATGGAGGAATACTCATTTTGCCTGTCAAAGCTAAGCATTTAATTTTCGTTTGGAGATTGTGACTGGATTTTCCAAATCCATTTAATCAAACACTTATACAGTGGTACCTCTGGTTATGAACTTAATTCGTTCCAGAGGACCGTTCTTAACTGGAGGTACCACTTTAGCTAATGGGGCCTGCCGCGCTGCCAGCTAGCAATTTCCATTCTCAACCTGGGGCAAAGTTCTTAACCCGAGGTACTACTTCCGGGTTAGCGGAGTTTGTAACCTGAAGTGTCTGTAACCTGGGGTGTTTGTAACCTGAGGTACCACTGTACTTAATCCTGTAGGCTCTACCATGGCTCTACCTTTGAAATAAGTGAGGTATGTGTTATATATAGGAGCTGGCTACAGTATAATTTTGGGTTATTGTTTTTGTTTGTTCTGATGACAACTAATAGAAAGCACTGCCTCTTTTTATCAGCAATCTACTAATCTGTTTCTCTGAAGCATAGGTATTTGAGCAATTGCAAGGGTGCATCAATACAATCAGGAGGGTAGAGTGTTGGTTCACCCAGAGTTAGGTATAAATTTGGTCAATAGTTTTTTTTCTGATATTTTTTAACAATGGTGTGAGAAGTTGGTACACGTTTCATGACACTAGCCATTGATTTATTGACTTCCAGGCATGTTTCTCATACACTGAGAACAAAATTCTCATTTACTAATTTTACATTAAACCAGGTGAGAGTAGCCGATGGGTCTCAAACCCCTGCATGCTCCAGCAGATTGTGTGGGTGATACCAATAGTGGGTCGAATAGCCAAGAAGATGTTTCTGCACATGCTGTAGAGCAGGCAGGCATGTCCAAAGTCCATTTCGGAGGCATAGTTATTTCCTGGGGTAAAATCCTAAAAAACCCTCAACAAAACAATTTCAATCCTAAAAGAAGCTCAATAACTCCAACCCTTAAAAAAAGCTCAACAACTTCAATCCTTAAAAAGGGTCAACAACTTTGGTCGGCCCCCACGGCCCTTCACTTCATCAAATCTGGTCCTCTTTGAAAAAAGTTTGGACACTACTGCAGGGGAAGTGAGGGGCAAATGGGTAGCCCATCTAGAAGAGGGGAAAAACTGATTCTAAACCTCTGCTGCCTTGTGAGAGATCTTCAGGAGAATATAAGGCTAAGAAGCAAAGCCTACACAAATCTGCAGTGGAGTTCCTAAGATGGTTCGATGGTGCCTTGTATGTCTCTGTAGGAGACTCAGCCCTGTAACTGCCCTCAGATTAAATATAGTGGACCCACCACACAGTACACAAATTAAGCCAATTTATACAATTTACCACAGGCTATCTTGTGGGAGGTAAACTTTGATTCAGGGAGTCTCAGGAGTTGATCAATGAAGAAAAGTATTATTTACAAAAGTGGAACAAAGTTGGGTCAGGAGATGCATTATTTCAGGTAGAAATCAGTTTATTACTTAAACCAAATATAAAGATGTCACAGGCTTAAACACAGTAGTATATGCACAGCTTTTCTTAAACTTCTATTGCTAAAAATCAGTTGTTAAACTTCAGGTAGATGTTCAGGTTTCTAGAATAGGTGGTAAAATGCTTAACTCAATTTCTGTTACTTCACTCTCATTCCTTTACTTAGTTATTATGACAGGTGTTAGTTAAATACTTCTGACATAGCACAGCTTCTTTCCCATCTTAATACTTTGGTTTATGAGCGAGGGGCACTTTTTGTCAGTTACCCACTCTTTTAACAAACCCACTCCTAAAGTATTTCAGTTAGTATAACAGACCTCACCTCTTGTTACTGGCTTGGGAGTTGTCTTTTCCTAGAACAACTCTCCCCTCCTGATTGGAATAAAACCCAGGTAATTTGTATTCCAACAGCTTCATACTTCTCTTGACTCAGATTCGGCTCTACAGTTAACTCATGTCTGTATACCTTCCCCAGACATTCAACCCGGTCTTCCTATCTCAGCTGCAAGGCTCTCTTCCTCTTGCTATAGATCATTTCTTCAGAGAAGGTGTTCATCTCAAATGAGAACCAATTCTCTCAGACAAACCCCATCGTAATCACACTGTCTCCCATCTCAAATCAAGCCCTATCTCTCAGACTTAAACTCTAACTCCAGCTCTTTCCCTTTTCTATCCCTATCTAAAAACTCCTTCAGAAACTGCTTCTCTTTTTCTCCCTCTCCAAAGTGTTGCTCCACCCCCTCTAGCAAGCTGTCTTGAGAGCCAATCAGAGCTAGGCTCCAGCACTCTAGTGAGATTTTGAGGAACTTCATCACCAGACTCTGGTCTGACTCTGCTGTCCATCACAGCCTCCTTCTGGCAGCTCCTGCAGCTGAGCTCCTGCCAAATGTATTGCTCTGCTTTCCTTTGGACCACATCAGCAAGGCCAAGAGGGAGGGGGGTCTTGTCGTCTGAGTAGCCCAGGACCTCCATACACACTGCCCAGGCATATGCCCTGGGGAGGTCACTTTGATACTGCTAACACAGTGGTTTGACTTCACCCCCAGAGTGCTTACTGCATTGCCTCTGGAGCAGACAGGTGCCAGCAACATTTCTAGCGTTGAGTTATGCTTCTTGTGGGTGACATGGGCCACTTGCATAGGGAGAAACTTCAGAGGTGTATGATTGGAAATAGTTTGAGATTTGAAGGAAATCTGCAAGGTGTGAAGCAAAATGCCAGAGATTGGAAAATTCTTCTGTTGCCCGTTGCCTTGGTATGTTTAAGCACTGAGAAGGATAAGAAACGTTTCTGCAGGAAGGAGGAAGAAATCAGTGACATTGAGTACAAGCCAGCAAAATTTTGACTGACTCACAGTCAAGGCAATGGAGTGGGGCATAGCTGCAGTTGACCGTTCCATTTGATTCAGGCAATTAATGAGTAACATTTTGCTGGATTATGCACACTTGTTTTAATTCTCAGAATTTCAACCCATTCTGTTGGCAAATGTGCCAGTTAAACTGCCAAGCAATTTCTAAGGGAGAAAGTGTGCAACTAAGCCTATGTCTTCTGGTCATTCTTTCATAGCTAATATCCATACTTCAAAGTTAAAAACTAATTAAATTTTGAGATGATACTGGTTTAAAGCTTACATTCTTCATGTAGTAGCAAAAACATATCTCAAAGTTATCAAAGAAGCTCTGTGTTTGAGGGGATGTGAAATTTCTATATGTAGCATGAGACAACATATTGGCTCATTCGCCCACAAAAGTTATTATTTGCTGACAGCATCATCAAGTACAGAGTATGTGTGAGACAATTTTCTACTACTCCACTGTGTTTCATTTCACTACTTAGATCTTGATCCGTTCACCTACTACGGTATATTGCATAGATTTGAATTATCTGATCGGCATTACCATCCTGCATAAAATGCAAGTGGTGAAGATTCCCCAAATATATTGTTTGTTTTCTGCTTCATATGGGCAGGGTTGTTCCAGAAGAGTTACACTCATTACTCACTGTTACCACACTTACTCGGAACATGTGTCTACACATCTGCGAACTATTTCTCTGCGTTTAGGGAATAAGCCATTCCAAAATATGAATAGTTTGAGAGAATTTAGCTCAGATATGCTGGAGGAGCAGTTTCTCACTCCAATCCTGGCTTTCATTTACAGCAGACTGAGTAACTTCAGATTGTTTAGTCAAAGTAGCAAAATGCCTTCACAAGATACACTGCAGAGCAAGAGAGATGCAGTCACAGCCATTTCAGAAATTGAGGTTTATTGAGAAAGTACATTACAGTCATACCTCGGGTTAAATGTGCTTCAGGTTGAGCGTTTTCAGGCTACGCTCCGCGGCGACCCAGAAGTAATGGAGCGCATGCGCAGATGCTCAAAATGACGTCACGCGCATCTGCGGAAGTGGTAAATCGCGATGCGCAGTTGGGGTTTGCATTCACTTCAAGATGTGAACAGGGCTCCGGAACGGATCCCGTTCGCATCCAGAGGTACCACTGTATAACAATGTCACTTTAATAGTTAACTGTTAATGCTGTTCCAGGGATTGGGGTGGGGGGAGAGAGCAGAGGATTAGTAAGATGGCTGCCAGCCACAGAGGCTGTGTAGTGATCTGCTTGGCTTCGGAAGCAGTCTGAAGTATAAGACACAGAACGTTTCTTCCTTACATGCTGTGTGAAACACTGGAAGTGGGAATGAAGATTCCTAACATTGGGGTAATATCCAGAAAGAAGGTAAAAGTAATAGATTTTCCTCAGCTACGCCAATACTTTACTAGACATAATCCAGAGTAGGGATGTGGACAAAGAACAGTCAGATGGGAGACCAGGGTTAGTCAGGTTGAGTCTGTCTTTGCAGGATGTACATTTAGAACCACCTGGAATTAAGGGATTCAGAGATTTAAGAATGAACATCTAGCCAGGGTCTATAAATGTTTAGTTTTGCTGGCAGACAATTTGGCTAACAAAAAACGTGCAGGGGAAATCCCGGGAAGGACAAGTATGAATTTGATATTCTGGCGTCCCACTTAGTTCTGGGGCAGTTACAGAGATTCACAAAAGAGTAGTGTGGTCATGGAACTGAGATTTCTAGGTGCACAAAAAATCCTATGGTCCTGTTTCTGCTTATCAAAAACAATTAGGCCCGCTGCTTCTAATTTGGCCCACCCAAATCATGCCCACCTTCCAAACACATCAGGTGTAGGACAGATGCAGACACAGATACACAGGAACAATCCGGAGCTAATCAGCATTGACACAGTCCTGCTGGGGTCAGGTGCACTAAGGTATTCCTTATAACCACCAGTTGCTTTCACCATTAATCAGCTGCTGTCATCATGACATGAGGCAATTGACAGGTGGGTGGTCAAGCACAAATATTGGCTGGTGGGGGTATTTGGGATCCCGTCCTGGTATGGAGGGGGGTGGAGTCTTCTTTGTCCATTTCAATAGATGTGTTTTGTGGGGAACTTCCAAGGTACCTTTGTCCTGGTTTGCCAGACCTTTACTAGCTCACCTTTCCACACAAAATGTAATGTTACAATCCAAGGTGTTCATGAAGAGACGCACACAATTGTTAAATATCATACTGTTTAAAATTGAGGTGGGGAGGTGAGGGACTGAATTTCCCCCCATCTATAGTACCTACCTTGTTTATACAAAGAAAATTACATCCTTTTATTTGACGGAGGTTTAAACAAGTTTAAAAGTACTGTTTCCAGTACAGATGCTTGGTGGACCTAACTGATTACATCCCTCCATTGTGAGAATAATGTTCACACAGTTCTTCCACTCTCTTTCCTGTTCTTCTCTTACCCTATTACTCATAAGTTTGTGTAGGAGTCTTTGGTAGGAGACTTTGTCAAAAGCTTTTTGAAAGTCCAAATAAACAGCATCTACTGGATCACTCCATCACCATGCCTGGTAGCACACGCAAAAATTCTAAAGGTTTCATGAGATAGGACCTGCGTTTGCAGAAGCAATGTTGATTATTCCTCAGCAAACTTATTATCTTTGATTAGTGCTTTGCACCAATTTACCTGGAACAGGCTTTCAGCCAGTCTGCCTGTAATCTCCTTGAATCTCTCTGTATCCTTTATTTTTTAAAAAATGTGTTACACCAGTCACTTCTCAAAGGCCAGTCTTAGGACATGTTGATCTAGAAAGTTGAGTCAGCCACAGGAAACTGTCCTACTTCAAATCATTCTTCTAGAACAGTTTTTTTCTATATACATGAGTGCATTGTCATGGGCATAAACATCTCTAAATTTGCATCTTCATTTTGAAAGTGTGTATCGCTTCGGAGAGTCTGAGGCATACTAAAACATATATTTTTTTAGTCTCTGATGTTTTCTTCAGTTCTGCATGAAATTGGCTGTTCTGAGGAATAGAGTTTTGTCATGACATACCGGTTTTTGTTTGGTTTGATTAACAATGATAAAAGTGCCTGGTTAAGGAGCATAAGAGTATAAGAAAAGCCCTGCTGGATCAGGCCAGTGACCCAGTTCAAAATTCCAGGTAAGAGAATTTATAGTTTCATCAATGAGGGTATGGTCTGCTATGGTTAGACATTGTGGATTACCAAATGGGATAATAGTAACAAGCACTGTCTACAAATTTGTTCTGTGAACAACACATTTTGGAAATTCATATGACCCTTATTTCAGATTGATCAGATTACAGTGGTACCTCAGGTTACAGACGCTTCAGGTTACATATGCTTCAGGTTACAGATTCCGTGAACCCAGAAATAGTGCTTCAGGTTAAGAACTTTGCTTCAGGATGAGAACAGAAATCGTGCTCCGGCGGCGCAGCAGCAGGAGGCCCCATTAGCTAAAGTGTTGCTTCAGGTTAAGAACAGTTTCAGGTTAAGAACTGACCTCCGGAACGAATTAAGAACTTAACCCGAGGTACCACTGTATAAAAGAAAGGTGGTGGCATCTGCTTTCCCTGTTCTGTCCATCTTTGCTGGTTTTGTTCTAGCCAAGAGCAAACAACATGCATAACAACACCTGCCATTAAATTTCTACTTTAATATAAAGTTAGTTTTGCAAGCATATGGGAATCGGATAAGATCTTTTACAGATGTGAGTTAATTCCTTAGCCCTTTAATTTTCTTCAGACAATTAACTTTTGCACATGGATAACTTTTATTAAAGTTCTTGTGTTTCAATAGTGTACTGTTCAGAACTTGACAGCAATATGTTCACTTTCTAGCAAACTGTGACATTCTGCTTCTTCAGTGCTTTAATTTTTAGAAAGTCAAAATAATTTCCTGACTCATTAAAATGAGTGGCTTTTACACGCCGTAGAATCTTGGACATGTAGTTTGTGGATCCATCGCTGGACAGCAAGTGAACTTGTAAATAAGATTTGTGCCAGCTGGCATGCAACTATCCTGAAACTTGTGACTTGTACTTGGGTTAGAAAAATGTCTTTGTCTTTTTTTAATCTAGTCTTTAAGATGGTTCCAAGAAAGAAGCTCTTTTGCTTTGGTTATAGTTGCTTTGTCATGCATGCAAAAATCTCAATTACAGTTAAATATCAATTATATAGTGTCTGCTCTGATAATTTGCTATTTTAAGTCAAAACTCTTGATCTGCTACACCTTTAAAAGTATACCTTACCCTGGTGCTACATATTTTGTCTGCTAAAAAAAAGTCTTTCTCTTTCCCCTACCCTCCCTCTGGATCATGGTTTCTTAAAATAAAAAAAAACTTATTCAGTCTCCTCCTACAGTTCCAGTTACGACATAATAAAATATTTTTATTTTATAAATTTACTGAACCACTTTTTAACTAAAAAAAACCTCTTAAATGACAAACATAAACAACTACACTAAAAACCAATCACAAAAATATATCCCACACTTTAAAAAAAACAACAGATTATTTGTTTGTTCATTAAATTTACTCCCACCTTTTCTTCCAAAGGAGCCCAGGGCAGCAAACAACAAAGCAGCAAAACAATATGAGTAAAAGAGTATAAGTAAAAATACAATAAAACATATATAAAACATTTAAAATCAGTTTATATTTTGGTTAAATCAGGATGTAATTTAAGATTTCATCATAATTATTATGTATGTGTGCAGAAAATATGTGAGCATCCATTCAATTTAATTTGACAGTTTAGTCAATTACAAGTCCATTAAATGTGAGAAATGTTTCTCAAATTCTATTTGCTATAACAGTATATTATATATTGTTGCATACAGAAATGATAATATATCTTGTATTTTGAATTATGTGTTGAGATGCACACATACCTGCCATTATCAGCATCATGTTCCTTGCAATGTGTGTGAAGTCTGCCATACATATGGGTGTGATTAGTTTATTTTCAGATAATCAGTTTCATAGAAACACTTGTGAATATCACACCGCCAAAATGTATAGGTTCGTAGCATGGCCTCTTCTTTATACTGTATACCAACCAAGCATGTGGAAATGATAACAATGATGCTGTGTACGTTGTTGGTGTGCGTATGACTTTACTTTCACTTTTTTACTTGACTTGCCAACTATGCATTTGTCGTGTGATAAGCAACCAACTTTCAAATTCCAAAGTAGGATGAGAATTTTCCTAGCAGTTACACAGCAGCCCATACCTTCTCTCCAGCTTGGACGAAAACTTGGGAGGTGGTTCAGTAACCGCAAGACCAAGGTGCCTGGAGAACCTTCACCATAATAGCACCAAATGGTAAGGAGCTTCTTAAGTTGCTCCTTGACAAAGGGGTGCTCTGAACCCCCTCTTTGAGCACCAGACAAGCTAGAAGGGGCAGGAACATAGAGATAGTTTTGAGCTGCAGCTTAGGCTAGCCAGAAATCGTGCATTTGTGTTTAGAAGGATGTAAGAGTTGACTTTTTTGAACATACTAAAACTTGAATGCAGTAGGGCTGTATGCAGGGGGTTTTCACACACACCCTTCTAGTTACAGTCCCAACCCTCACCCCTGACTCTGAAACATTGCACCCAAGAGTTAGAGAACACTAGTTCCAGATGCCAGGGACAAACAATAGGGAATGGCCTTCATCTTTTTTGCATCCTGTTTGCGAGTTTCTCCAGTGGTATTGGACTGCTGTTGGAATCAGAATGCTGGACTGTGTGAACCATAATTTAATCCAGCAAGAAAATCCTTACATTTTGAGGACTTTGTCTTTTTGAATTTCAATTAGTTACATATTTTGTCTGGATGATGACATAACAGACTTTGAAAAACAAAGCAAAAACAAAGCAAAACTGTGGCACATGGTTGAGGTTACTTAAGCAGCAATTGTGGTACAAGTACTATTTTTCGATTCTCAAAACATTAGTTCGGAGCAGCATAAGATACGTTTGGTCCACAGGAAACTGGTAAATTGGCAATAAAATTGACTCCATAAAATTCTTTGAGGTTTGTTTCTTTCTCTTTTTACAAATAAGCAGTGCATAAATCTTAAGAAATAAATAAGGCTTGGGACCTAAGTATCTGAAGGATTAGCTTTGGGAAGGATGTGCCCAAGTGTTATATTCCTTATGACCTTCTCTGTGTCGTCGTCCCCCACCACCTTCAAAAGTTGGGGTGACCAGAGAAAAAACCTTCTTAGTTGGAACACTCCATATGCCAATTGATGTTCCCAGGGAGGCTGGCCTGGTATTAGCTTCGGCTTTTCAGCCCAGAATATAGACCAGGCTTCTTCAACCTTCGCCCTCCAGATGTTTTGAGACTACAATTCCCAGCATCCCTGACCACTCGTCCTGCTAGCTAGGGTTCATGGGAGTTGTAGGCCAAAAACATCTGGAGGGCCAAGGTTGAGGAAGCCTGATAAAGACCTTTTGATTTTTTCCCAGAACTTCCAGCACTTTAAATTCTTATATTGCTGCTTTTGTTGTTGTTTCTATATTTTACTTTATTTGGTTTTATCTTGTGCTTTACTGCTCTTCTTTTGTATACTGTTTAACATCATTGCTTATATTTTGATTTTTAAAAACTTGTTACCATTTTTGTTTAACTTTGTAAGCCACCCTGAGAGCTTGTGCCTGAAGGGAGGTGCAACAACTTGTAAATAAATGCTTGCATAAATTAAAAACATTTGGTGTATTTGAGTGTGGAACCCTTCACGGTGAAATGCTATTTGTGGGTATAAGCAGGACAGGAGTTTTACAAGGAATACATATTCACATAATTTACCATTGCGCTGAAAGCACAGCCATAAATTTTGTTCCTGTGTTAATCCCTCTAAAAACATGCATTTAACCACAGGTTTTAATAAGAGCTTACCGAAACAAGGAGCTAAGCCTAGTAGCATGGTTTGCTTTGTTCTTTACCCACAGGCTTTATTGTTTATCAATTTAACATTTTTTAAATATTTCTGAGATGAAACGTAAAATTAGTGGCACAACAGAATCATCATACCTTTGCTTCTAAGTCATTACTTCAAAGACTGTGCCTTTTAGCAAAATTTGACACAAACCAGGCATAATTGTACGTGCTTGTGTGTTCTTAAAGCTAGATTAGTCTTAAAGGGATTGTATAAGGTCTGAGGCGAACAAAGGTTATTTTGCTTTTAGGATAGAATGAGGAATTTCTTGACGGCCTAAGCACAAACATTGTATTGTTTTAACTTTATCTAAGGGTTTGTATCCAATTATGTCCTTCTGCTAGCAGGCAGTGTTAGAAACTGAGATATGAAAGTTAGGAGCTAAATGGTACCTTAAACCTAGGTTATGGGCACAACGGAATGTCTAGATGCACTTTTTTATAACTAGAATGCAAAGCTAAAAATGAATGAACTGTAGCTAAAATATTATCTTCATTTTTCACATGGTCTAGTCCTTCCCCTGCCCACCCTCCTAATATTCTTGAGAGGGTCTCTTCTCCAGTCTTCAGAGAATAGATGGAAGTGGGGAGGCAGAAAAAGATCCTCTGTTCCTTCCACTCTGCAGTTTTAATCTGAAAGCTTAGGCGCAGTACTGCACCCAGAGCTCAGAAACTGCTTGCGCTAATGAATTGCCCTCTTGTAGAATGTGCCTAGAGCAATGGGAGCCTCAAACACAGCTAGCAGAATGTTCTTTCCTTTTGCAGTCCCACTTCACCATGCTGTTCCACTGGGACAAATTTTGGGACCTTCCAAAGTGGTTGCAGAAGGAAGGGGAAACTATCTAAAACAGCCTCACCCTTTGTTTTTCCTCATGGAATCCCAACCAGGATCGAAGAGCATTCTGTCACTAGAGAGACATAATTGGAAACCATCCTGTATCTTCTGCATTAGGCTCTCCAAAACCAACAGCATGCTACACTGTTTGTTCACTTTCCTCAATAAAAGTTCAGTGGGTTTCCAAATGCTTTGGATGTGGAAGACCTCAGCAGAAAACCCTTATCCTCACCTCATACAAATTTTAGTAACCTTATAGAATAACCTTGGAATAGGTTTTTTTTTTTGGATTTGACTCCAACTCCCAATTTCAAACTTTACCCCACCCACTTGATCCTCTCCCTTTAATATGCTAATCCCTCTAATCTAGACTAGTGACTGAAAACTTCAAAGTATTTCCTGGAAATATTTGAGACGCTAAAGTCTGAAAATAATATGGTCTACTAGCCTCTATGGCAAAATATAGTTAGGAAAAGATGCAGCAGGTCTCTGGGTCAATAGAGATCACAAATCATAATATTGCCCCAGTGTGACAAAACGTCAAGGACATTGAACTAGTGGTTCAGTTCAGGGCAATGTAAAAATACTCTGTGAAAGGCTTTGCATGAGTCAAATGTTCTGATTTTTGTAGACAAGGAAAAAGGTGACTAGAAAGAAATTGTTCCTCTAAGACAGCCTTTCTCAACCTGTGGGTCCCCAGATGTTGTTGAACTACAACTCCCATCACCCCTAGCTAGCAAGGCCAGAGCTCAGGGATGATGGGAGTTGTAGTCCAACAACATATGGGGACCCACAGGTTGAGAACCGCTGCTCTAAGAGATATACCCTTGTATTTTCTTCAAAGAAATATTTTGTCAAAAACTGTGCTGCTGCTTTTGACTACTGGTATGAATTTCTGTAGTTTAAAAGCATACCTCCTGGCATCTTGCAAAGAAGGGCATTGTGTATAAACATGCTACCCAGCTGATGCTTTAATAAAACTAAATCACACCATGATAATAATTATGCCCGTTTACAGTTGTTAGACTTTTAAATATTTGTGGTAACACAAGTAGACAGTAGTTTTATATTAAATGCATTCTATATACTTGCACAAAGAATGTGCTATGTCTAAGATTCCTGTGGGCTATCTTATAATAAGAGAGTGATCTCCTAAGCAAGTTCTATATAAATGGTCTTCATGAATAAAGACCTGTTGGTTTCCTTGTTTGAAAAGTAGTAAACTAGCAGGGACTGGCAGGGCTCTGAAGGGTGTGTGATGGGACCAGGGGAGGGAACCAGAAGAGGGGACAAGAGATTTATGGGATATGATGTTGCCCACAATACAGGAACCAGGGAAAGAAGGATAGTCAAGGCAGATTGAGAAGGTGCAGTGGATGTGGTGGAAGAAGAGGAGGCTGTTCAGCAGACAGATGGTTCAGTAGACTCCCCACCGTCCCCTGCCCCGCTGCCTCCTCAAACCAGGAGGGGCTTGAAGCAGGAAGAGCAGTAGCACCTCCCCCTGTCAGGGGAGGGTACATAAGACAGCAGAGGGGCATGGTTTCCTAGTGTCCTAAAATCTGATAACAGAATTAAAGAAATTCACCCTTGAGGCATTGCAGGAGATTATGGTTGATATAACAGACTGATCATACTTAGAAGTACACCAGTAGCATACCTGCTTAGCATTAGAATTAATTTTTGTACTCCCGTTTTCAGATGGAGGTTAGATGATGTAGACCATTTAGAGATTCCACATACAATCAAGTGGTATGTGAATTTTATAAAATAAATGTGTATGTTGCTCATTTAGGCCGGCAACCTAAGGCCCATGGGGGTCATTTAACTAGCCCATGGACCCCCACCGCCTACTCGTTCGGCTCCCATGCACCGTGCTAAACTGGAACAGAGCAGGGACCGGCTTCTGCGACGCTGGCTGGCTTCTCATTGGTTGCAGGAAGCTGCTGCAGCCAATGAGAAGCTCTGCACGCCTCCTCCGCGCCAGAAGGAGCATTTACGTATGTGTGCATGCACTCCGGCTCACCCTGGCGTCTGCGGGACCATGAGCCAGCCCAAGTCACAAAAACTTTGCCGACCCCTGCTTTATGTATTGTGTAACAGCAGTGTACCTGCAGCAATTGCATAAATCATGAAGCTGCTATTAATACGTACTAAATTACAGACATAGCTGTCTTCTTTCAGTCAGTAGGAAAGGTACAAATTAGTTTGTCTGCTTGTCATATTCTAAGCATTGTATACAATATTTATCATTCTTATTTATCATTCCATTTTTCTGAAATGTCCCTTCTTGAGTACCTGCATACATACATAATATTGTTTTCACGCCACCTTTCCACAGTTCAAACCATGTTCATGGTGGCTTACAACAAGAAAAAAATACGTAACTTCAGCATAACAAAACTCGTCAATAAATAAATAAAACATCAAAAAAAATACACAACCAAACTGAACAATTTTCACGTAATCTAAAATAAAATACAAAGTGTGTTTAGAGGGTGCACCGCATTTTACTCAATTTCACTTATGTGTGTGGCAGCCCAGAACATAACCTGCCCATAATAGGGGAGTCATCTGTACTGTAGAAAGAGCCTTTTGTTATTGCAGGGACTCAAGACGCAGAGTGCTTAAGACAGTAATAATTACAGTTCATGAAGCACAACCTGTATGATAGAACCTTTGTGTTCATTTATACCACATTCCTAGATGAGGAAAGCCCCATTAATTGGTCATTTGCCTATGGCAGGGCAGTAAGAGGTGTTCTTTGAACATTGAGGAAATGCTCAACTATCATTTTACCTAATCTCAAAATATCATAACATTCTTGCAATATCTATAAAAATGAAAGCTAAAAATAAGGTATTGTAGAAGCAAAATTGCTTTCTCTCTGGCAGTAATAGTAATTATAATCTTGCCTTAAACTTTCTAAAAATTCCCATGCAGGCTGCTGTGATTTTTTTAAACAGTGATTTAAACAATAAAAGTGAGTCTCTTAAGAATTGCTGGAATGTTATTCCTGGAATTTTCATTTTTTTCAGCACAACTCTCTTCGCTTCGCATGTAATCCGTTAAGAGTTAGAAATGTAGTTGTGCGTTTCAGGGGTGTGGTTTAGAGTGCAATCGTTTTTTAAAATGAGATTTCTGTGGAATCTTACAGGAAGTTCAAAACTTCAGTTTTCAGACTTTTTATTTTAAGGATGTTTGTTTAGAGTTTTTAAAATCGATAGTAATAGATTGTTGTGATGTAATTTAACTTACCATTTTCCCTGCTAATGCCTCAGTCTATGTGAATAATTTTAGTAGCTGTATCAGTTGTTTTTCAGTACTGTTATGTTAGTTGACCAACATATGACTTAGCATTCTGCCTGGCATCCAGAAGTTAAATATGCCCATCTCTCTCACCTTGGGAATTGGAAATGTTGTGCTGTATTTGGCAGTGATATATCAAAGGCAGCCAAACCTACTCTATGTCAAAAAACACAACTGAAGGAGGGGAAGGTCAGCGAAGAATGAGCTAAAACGAAAGCCAACCAAAAAAACACAGCCAAAATCAGGCCAAAGTGATGTTTTGGTCCACTACCTTGTTTCAAAATGGTGGCTAGCATCCAAACATCAACAAAGATTGCCACTCCCACCTTCGGACTTCTCCTGTCAAGTTTGGTGATGATATCTCGAGTGATGTCTGAACGTATATACGACAAACAGACAAAGCATTTTCTAAAATATGTAGTAGATTGTATGGCATAATTATTTTCTGTTCAGGTTAGGTTTTATTGACATTATCATTTTAAATTGTTCTTTTTATGTTATATTTATTATTATTCATGATATATTGTGATCCACCCCGGGCATAGTTTTGTGGAAGAGTAGCATACAAATAAACGCATGATGCTAATGACATTTCTCCACTTGGCGTAGGTTTCTTTATAGCTGTGCACTGCATGACCCCATGCAGCCACTGTCCTTTGATTACTGTTAGAAAGGACATGCCTCTTTCTCCCATTGGTTGCCATTCATCATTGGTAAAGAAGTATGATCTCCAGCCCCACTCAGTGGCAGACATATCCATCAGATTCATGTAGATGTTAGGAGCATTAGGGACAAGACTGGCAGTTTCTTCTTGTAGTTGAAGTGGAACTGCAGTTCAGATTCTGTATAGGCATTGCCATCTCATTTAATGAAACAGGAAGAACTCATAAACCAGCAATTAGAGTTCATAATGCCAAAATAGGAGCTGTTCTCTTCTTCCTCCACCCCTAATCCAACCCTGTAGTGTAGCGTCTATATCAGCTGTCCCAGAAATAAAACAATTTGAATATTTTCTTCTACAAATGTTTAAATATTCTCCACCAGGCCTTGGAAACTTGATACAGTCAGACCCTTGAGCTGTGACAGAAAGTTTGTGACACTTAACCTTTAGCTTTCAGACCTTCAACTTACTTTATAAACAGGCATCCTAAGTTTGCTTTTATTTTAAAAACTTTCCCAAAACAATGCATAAATATGTTCTGAAATATGGAATAAAGCATACCTTTACCTTTAAAGGGGGCAGGGTGGTACAGAAAACAAGAAAGGCAGAATTTATTACATGGTGGTTAGCACAAAAGTATGGTGAAGCTGAAGGCTTGTTGGTAGATGAGAGAAATTTCTTCTGTTGCAACTTCCTGAAAACTTTCCAAGCTAATACAGAGTTCTCAGGTTAGCTTGTAACTATGTTCAGTACCACTTGCACACTTTGTTTTAGCCATAATGTTACTCATAGACCTTCCTCCCAGTTGTACTGGGTTCTTTCAGTGAATGTTGCTCCATTCATTTTATGCTTGTGAGTTCCACTGAAAAATAGCATTTTTGAATCCTACCTTTTAGTGTAATATTAGACAATTTATTCCGAACATGTAAGTTTGGACCTTGTGCTTGAGTGAAAGACTTTGGCAAATCATTAATAAACCAAATTAGGTTGGGTAACATGGTTTGTCAATAGAAATTGTCCTCTGAACTTTCAGAGGACCCTTATCTTTGCCTTCTGGAAGTAAATACACTTATTTTATACTGGGGTATAAACCTGCTTTTTGAGAATAAAAGGTAAAAACCATTTTAAACACATGCTGTTACTGGCTAATAATCATGGCGTTTAACAACCCAACACACCTGTATTTTATAACTGCTGCATTTTTTCATCTGCCTAGTTCTGGGTTGTAAATCTGATAAATCCTGCCTCCCGCTTCTAGCTTTGTGTTTGCAAAAGTAGTTTTACTCTTCAACTTGTTAAAATAAAAAATGGACTGTACGGGAAGTATTAGCAGTGGGCATCACTGCGGTGAAGCATTTTTGTTGTGCTGAATTGTATTTTTAAAGGTTATTTTTAAAACTTACTCAGGGATGAGGAACCTTTTCAGACCATGAGCTGTATTCCCTTGTGAATAACATCCTTGGGACACATGCCAGTGAGGGTTGGGAACAGAGGCAAAAGTGGGTGGAGCAATTAATGGAAATATTACCTTTGCACAGCAGCCTAGTTTTTATGCACAAACTAGAGATGCCTGCTGTATAGTTTCAGACAACTGGAGGAGGGGTTACTTTGTTCTAGGGGTACATTCTCAGTCATCAGTCAGCTTTGAGTGTCTCTAACTGGTGCTGGTTTCTCATGACGGTGTGCTAAGAGAAGCCCTCAAACTATGTCCCTCCCTGAACTTGTGGTCTTGAGTGTTGTGTTGACAACTCCAAGTCTTGTGGGACTTAAATGTTCATGCTGATGCTGTATTCTCAGGGGCATAGCTGCCCTGTCAACCATGGACCTCTCTCAAGATCTGAACCAATACTTGGTAGGGTGTACCTTGGATCTTGTTTCTCTGCAGAAGTAGAGGGAGATAATATGTGGGTATGAGAGAGAAACAACTCCATTGGTATGTACAGATCATTAACTGATCCGATTTGGTATGTTCTACTCCCTGGAAGCTGATGGATCTGGATGGTTTTCTGAAGCCATTTGGCGATTTTCTCACAGGTTTAACTGGCAGTCTTACAGTCTCTGCTTAGAATGAGGATATGACTTAGGTCATCAGTACAACTACTTCAAAATGTTTTCTGTCTGTCTGTAGATCTGGTGTCAGTTCCTTGGTATTCAGAGGAACCTTGTTAGTTCTCCTGGACCTCAACAGCTTATCTGGATTAGTTTGGAAGGCATGGTTTTAAAGTGATTGTGGTACTTCTGAAGGAGAGGTTCTGGAAGATGGTGCTGGGGAACTTTTGCTCTACTCTACAGCCAAAGCCTTACTATGTCCTGCAGAAGTATTATCTTGTAAATACTAAAGAACAAGGGAGCCATGTAAAGCACTGGGGGGAAGTCTTCCAGAGATTTGGGTTGCAATGTCATCAGCATGTAAATGACACTCAGCTTTACCTCTCATTTCAAGCTTTCTTGAATACAGGCATACTACCATGTGCCCTAGGAAAGTTAATTGAGTAAATTTTTATATGTTATGGGGGTTAGATTAATTAAGTGAAGGAGGGTATCTGGAATTTGATCTTGAAAGTGCACAGAGGCAACACCACCTCTAAACAGAACTAAGACTGTTGGTTTAGCTAAAGTCTAAATATAAAGGACAACAACCAGGATAATGATGGAGTTCATACTTGGATTGTAGGGGTGTTCTACTGGTGCTTTGAGCACTCATACCAATTTCTCCAAGGAAGGGGCAATGAAATGGATTTGTTTGCGCCCATGAGGCCAAGTGCCCGAGTGAAAGTTGGTTATCCACATTGGCCTGGGCCTCAACTTTGGGGCTGGTGGATGTAGCACATAGTGGCATAGACCTACAGTGGCTTCTGTTTTTGGTTGCAATCCAAACAAGCCCTGCATCATCTCTTCATTTGGAGCTTAGGATTCAGTTACCTAAGCAGATCTCAAAAGTGTGCACCTTGTTTTGCTCAATTTTGCTGTGTAAGCTCAAATGTTAAGATTCAGTTGCATCACAGATTCAAACTTCCTTCAGCAGCAAGCTTAGTTCCAGTTGTAACTGGGCCAATCATTATGTAATGTTTCATCCCACAGAAAGTGTTGTGTGTTTTTTATCCCATTGAAAGTATCATGTGTGCAAAACGAAGCATTAAAAAAATGGTTGATCCTAATGGTCTCAAGATAATACTTTTAAAGAGCATCTAGGCTGACTTCCAGCTGACACCCAAGCACCATTTATTGAAATAAAAATTGCATACATTAAATACAAGTACATAGCATGCATCCACAATGCATTTCCCTACTTCTTTTTTCTTCCAATTATGGAATAAATAGGGTGAAAACATACTTTTAAATATTGTGCCTTTTAAAATCCCAGGCTCTGCCTTCAGTATTACTGTAACAGCACTTTCTTTTTATGGTTTTAAAATGTGAAGTACTTTACTGTGAGTATAATGAATTCAGCAAAAACTCAAGATGCTTTTCTTGTGTTTTGGTTAACAGAGCAGAGTAAGAGTCAATGTTTTTGTAACTTAGTATTTCTATACTTTTATTCCTTTCTTTAGTTTGGTCTGTGTTTTGTTGTTTCCTTAGCCCTGGAATGAGATCTGATGTAAGCACTTCACCATCTACCTCTTCAACAACTACGGGACCACCTCCCAAGCTCTGCCTTGTTTGCTCAGATGAGGCTTCTGGGTGTCATTATGGTGTCCTAACTTGTGGCAGCTGCAAAGTGTTCTTCAAAAGAGCTGTGGAAGGTAGGATATATCGCAATTATTTAAAACGTATGGTCTATATCTCACCTCAAATGTTTGTGGGTTTTTACAAAGGTTATTGGAGTTCATTTCCATGCTATCTCTTCCTATCTCTTGCAAAATCTTTGGTCTTCAGTAGCCATCTTCAAGTATTTTTCTGTGTGAGTGTGTGTATGTGCGTGTTAAGTAAGCATGTGAAAGCAGCCGGTGGGAATAAGCATTCTGGCTCTACCTCCTGTTCTGATTCCATTGCTTTTCACAAGTTGGAGGGCAGACTTCTAAAGTGGGAGCCTTCTATACTTGTGGAAGCTACCTTCTTCAGATTTTCGCCCTCCAAATAATGGGTGGTGATGTGGGTGGAGCCAGAACTAGCTTGCTCTCCTAACTCTTCTTCATGTATTTACTTAACATGAAAGAACGAACATCCAAAGAGGGCTGTTTTGTTTATTTTTATTTACAATACAGCCCACTCTTCATTTATGGTATAGCTCACTCGTCATTGAATATTTGCAATCCCAGAGCATGGAGCAAAGTAATAAAAATAAACAGAGAAAAATAGTATACAATATTGCAAAAAAAACATATAAACAAGCCCAAGAAATAGAAACTTAACAATTATGTCATGAGAAAAGGAAGCAAAACTACATTAATAAAATTAAAAATTTCCAGTTTAACCAAATACCTAGGTAAAAGCAAACACAAAACCACCAATGGTTTTAGCAAGTTCCCAGCCTGTTTTTCACTAATGGTAGTCTGCTCTTTTCTCTGTCTCCCCACACAAAGAGGGCCCCACTCTGTGCCAGAAGATTCTCAGTGTAACTGCTTACCCAACCTCCAAGATACCATACCATAGTGTTGTTTATGATCCTTGCACACTAGGCATTGGAATCCCCCCCCCAATTCATATTAAGCAGGAACTTTTCCTGTATGGTTTACAGCAAACTAAGCCAGACATGTAATGTTAAACATCCATAATACAATAAGATAATAAGTTGTTTTAAAACTTCTGATTTTATTTATATCTTGACAAGTTTTAGGTCAAGTTGTTTTCAATGTTTGATTTTATTTGTAAATAGATTCTAGTAAATAGACCATGGTAAATAGATCTACCAAGGTTCACTGTTCTCCCATTGTTGCTCATGTTTAACACTGCTATTTAATTCAATATGGAAAGAATCTGCTCTTTAAAAGTTATAGTTGACTTTACTTTGCTTCCAAGGTTTGCTTATACTTGGATCTTTGGTTCCATAAAAATTCCAAAGGATTTAGTTTGCCTGCTTCACAAGCTCCAAAAACCAAATAGTTTCCTCCCTGTTCTTTTAAAGTGGTAAAATCAATATGTCCTAAAGCAGCATTTCAAAACAAAAATTCTCAAACTGGATTACTGACTGCTTGCTCTGGTGGTACCAACTTTAACCTAAAAAATGCAGAGAATACGTAATTCTGTTCCAGGAAAAAAGTATGGATAGACATTTTATAGTGAACTATTCCATAGCGAGTTTTTGAAAAAGCAGTTTACTTTTTTCAAAAGTTCTGTGTTGGAGAAATTATACAGTACAATAAAATGACTACTTGGATATATACAGTGATATAAAAATGTGAGTGGTCATAAAAAGTACTCCAGTTCCACACTGATTTTCCTAGCAACTGACATTCTGCTGCAGATGTTTAGCCTCTTTCTGTCTCATCCATCTCAGATTTTCATGGACATGTACCTATAGAATACTAGAACAATGTAGGCCTTCCTTACATTCACTCCCTCTCCAATACTTCTCATCTGACTCTTCAGTTTTTTTGTGTAACCCCCCCCCCCTTTCAGAGCAAAAAAAGGAAGTGGGAGACTTGCAGATGATTTAAAAAACCTCTTCCTATTTCCCTTTTAATTCACTGATATTGGGGTCTTAAAAGGGAAATGGGAGGGGGTTTGCAAAAAACCTTTGCAATTCTCTTCCTTCCCTGCTTAAGATTGGATTTCAAGGGATTTTGTAAAGTGGGCAGCCTGCTCACCTGTCAGGTTTTGCCTGTAAGATCCTGATAAAGATCTGGCCCATGGAGCCAAAAAGGGAGGGGGAGCTTGAGACCAAAATTTGACACACACACACACACACACACACACACACACACCCCTTCATGCCCCTTAAGCAAGACACTGCATTTTGGGAAGGAGGTGTGAGGGCTCTGGCAGGGTCCTAGAGCCCACCCATCTTCTGAAAGCTGGGAAAGAGCTAACTAGGCTTTGGGAAAGGGGGGGACTGTAGAACCCTGTCGGAGCCCTCATGCATCCTTTCCAAAGCCCAGCACCTCGCTTACCTGGCTTTGGGAAGGCAGTACAAGGGCTGCAGGGGCAAGGGGTGTCCCCAGACGTTAGACCAGGGGTCAGCAACCCGCGGCTCCAGAGCCGCATGTGGCTCTTTTACACCTTTGCCGCGGCTCCGGGGCGGATACTAGTGAGGGGAGGAGGCGCATTGTGTGCCCCGACACTCCCCACTGTGGCGGGCGCTGTACTGGCTGTGACGTCGCATGGGGGCGGTGCGTGCGTTAGTCACGCACCGTCCCGACGTCACCTTCCCACCCGCCCGCCCGCTACATTGTAAAGGGCATGTACACTGGTCACTGCATTGAAAGGGGGCATGTACGCTGGTCACTGTTTTGAAGGGGAGTGAAGAACACACACACACAAAAAGGTAACTTGTTAATTTAACGTTTATTTCTATGAGGAGGAGTAATTCTGAGGGGTCAAACAAAGAAATAATTAAAAAAGTGACAAAAAGCTATTTTTATAATGACGAGTTTTGCGGCTCCCAGTTTTATTTTCTTCGGAAACGGGTCCAAGTGGCTCTTTTTGTCTTAAAGGTTGCAGACCCCTGCGTTAGACCATCCTGATGTACATGGATAGGATAGATAAGTCCATTTGTTTCTTCTCTTCACCAACCCAACAAGTGCATGTTAGAAATTAAATGCTCATAATTATAAAGGTGTTGTGCTTTGTTTGCAAATACAGGGCAGCACAATTATCTCTGTGCTGGAAGAAATGACTGCATTATTGACAAAATCCGGAGAAAAAACTGCCCAGCTTGCCGCTATCGGAAATGTCTTCAAGCTGGCATGAACCTGGAAGGTAACCTGAAATGTTTTAAAGCTGAAACCTAGAAAATCCTTCATTTTTGCATATATAAAAGATGGAAAGCCTCTTTGCACATTACTCATATGAAGATGTCCCAAATATAGAAAAGGACAGTGGGGACACGTTGCATCCAGTGCCACACATCTTTTTCCTGGCCTTTCCTATGATGTGCAGCTGTGATGGCAGCCTGTACACATAGACTCAAAAATCCATGCCTAATATGTGAACATCAGGGGTGGGGGAAGCTGCATGATGTTGAGTGCAGGACTGGTGGCCTAGTCCCTCTGCTTCATTCTACACATTGATCCCATCACTGGAATAATGTATGAAGTGGGTTAGTGTAAGTTTCAATAGTGGGAGTGGTCCCTACTCACAATTCAATAGTCAATAGTAACAAAAACTAATCCATTCAAAAGTATGTATTATAATAAAGATTACAAACTCAAATAGAGATTATAAACTCTAACAGAGATTAGAAACTCAAACTCAAAGAGATATGTATAACACAATAATTCGTTACAAAGATTTTCTCTTTTTCACTCGACAATAATGTTGATCTTTATAATTTATCAGCTTGCAGATGGAGACTCAGTTTCAATCATAGAGCAAAAGTCAATTATTGATTGGACACCAGGACAGGGCCCTGTTTCGATGTATTCACCTTCGTTAGCAAATTTTTAAGTTTGTAAGTTTGAAGACTTTCGGATAGATATATCCTGTTATTTTCTATATATCAATATATAACAGGATATATTTATCTGAAAATCTACAAACTTCAAACTTAAAAATTAGCTGATGAAGGTGAATACATTGAAACATGGCCCTGTTCCTGTCCTATTGACTATTGAATTCTGAGTAGGGACCACTCCCACTATTGAAACTTACATTGGCCTGAGTTCTTGGTGTGCTTTTTTCTTGGTATATTTAATAACAAAGACTCCAACTTATTTAAGTGGGTTAGTGGCAATATATGCAGTTGTTTAATGTTTTCTGAATAACTATTTATCACTGTATATGTTTAACATATGCACGTCTTTCTTGGCAGAACTTAGATATTTCTTTCAACATGCATTTCCAATATTTCCCAGACTCTCACAAGAACTGTATTTTGCACTGAAGTGTTACTGTAGTATGATTTGTATGCATGCTAATCTCTTTTTTCCGTTTCTCTTCTTTTTGTTTTCACTTTCCGATTTCACGTATTTGTGCACTCCTTTTTTCAGTAAATACTGTGGTTGGGAAAACCCCACACTTTGAGTGTACAACAGCTTGAATGCAAATCAGGATGAAACAAAAATGTTGACTCATCGGGCGGTATTCTATACCAGTTCTACTCAGAGTTACTCATTGAAGTTAATCAACACCACTAACTTCTGTTCACTAATTTCAGTGGGTCTACTCTGAGTAGCACCTGGTTGAGTGCAATCGATTGTCAACAATATGAAACTTTTAAAGTATGGATAGGTGATAACATTCAGTAATACTGTATGGCAAATTCATAATGAGCAAATTCACATGTTTGGTCCTTTCTGGCTGAGGAGAGGTAACTGTTGCAGGCTTGTCATTGCAATCCAGGAAGTCTTGTAGTAGCAATGTTAGTAGTGTTTGGCAGAATGAAGACTTCCACTTGTGTGATAGGAAAACTGACCTGGCCTTACCATTAGACAGAGTGCAGGTGCTGCTCAGGTGCTGCATTGCTGGCGTTGGACTAGATGATCCCCGGGGTCCCTTCGAACCCAGCAGTTCTGTAATTTCGAGCTCAGTAGTTAGGGAGACAAGCCAGCCTGCGTTGTGATCTGTCTCTGCTGCTCCATGTGGCATTATATTTAGGAGCAAGGACATTTTTCATCCCCCCTCACATTCAAACTTTGTAAACATTGCTATTTATTATAGCAATTTCATAATAATGCTGTGACGATATAATTCTAGAGGCCCCTGAAATATGATGTGTTTCGATTATTTTAAGCCCGTATGTCTAACAATAGAATGTCTTTACCAGAAACTTAATTTAGAGGCGGTATGTTTTAGGCCTTTGCAGATAACAAATTTAATTGGACAAACAACTAAAATACTTGGCTGCTTGTGCTTTTGCATACGTTTTTGTCTCTGTCTTACAAAATATCTAAGGAAGGGCAATCCAGAGTGTGGATGCTATCACCAAGAAGACCCACTTCCACGTTGTCACCAAATGGCAATTTGGTGGTTGTGGAACAACCAGCAGAGTCTCCTTGGAAGATCAACTTGGTCTGTACTGGGGAAGGCAGTCTGCCTAGGTATAATAGTCCCAAGTTGTTTAGTACTTTAAATGTCAACCACATCACCTCGATCTCAGTAGGTAATAGGCAGCCAATAGTATAATAGCTAATAACACAACTAATGATTTTGTATGTTATTGCATGTATGTGTCTCCAAAAACACCTCTAATTGCGTGCTAACTCAGGTATGGAGTAGGCAAGGTCACTGGTAAGCTCACAAGTGCCTCCATGATTTACATTTGCTGTGATTTCTGTAACGGCAGCTGCTGCCAAAAGCACTGCTGCAGTTGGAGGCATCAAGTGTATAGCACCACATGGAAGCACTGCTGCATGCATGTGATCTGGCCCTTTGCTATCTTTTCAAAGTCCTAGTTGGCTAAGTGCTTTACAGCTCTTTGCTACTCATTGAATTGTGAAGTTGGAAGGGACCAGTATTAACTTTATAATTGCTGTTCATTATCTGGTACTCTATTTTGTCCATTTTTGTAATTCCACTGTAAGATAGATTTTATATACAGTATTGCAAAATTTTCAGGATATATGGTTCGTATAAGTAAAAAAGTATGCAGGCAGCATAGATACTGTGGAAATGTGAATAAAAACAGTATATGGAGAAGTGTGTTTTAAGCAGTTTATCAGGCATATGTATTCCATAGTTTAATTATAATGGCAAGCAGTTGTCAGAAAAAAATATCTTTTTTGGTCCAGCTGTAGAAGAAACAAAAAAAATCCTAGCTATGGTGATTCATGTCTAGTAATGCATTCTATGATTCTTTGTGCATGTAGGCATAATTCCATGGTGTATATGTAGTTTTGTTCATCCATTGCCAAGTTCTGTTGTCTTGGTTTTAGTGGAATGCAAAGGCCTCATTGAAACCATTCCATTCCAAAGCTGTAAATGGAATAAGTTTTTTAGTAATTTCCCCCAGGTGCACTATTGCTTTTTCTTCCTTTTCACATTTAATCCAAGGTTTCATTTTCTGTTCATACAAATAAAACCATAAAGGAAGGGCAGGAAATTTCTGTGGCCCCCAACTCCTCTCTGTTCCAGCAAGCATGGCCAACGTTTGGGGATGATCAGAGTTGTCATTCCAACAAGATTAGGAGGCCACAGGATTCCCTGCCATAAGGAGTCTATTGTATGCCTGCAGCATAGAAGATTGCATTGATTGTGTTAGCAATGCTTTCTGGTTTTATTTTTTAATGTTGACTTTATTTTCTTAAAAATTTCTAGCACGAAAGACAAAGAAAAAGATAAAAGGAATCCAGCAATCTAGTGTGGCTGCAGGAAGAGAGACTACAGAAAGTCCCACAAATAAGGCTGTTGTTCCTGCCTCCCTGCCACAGCTAACGCCTACTCTGGTTTCCCTACTGGAAGTCATTGAACCAGAAGTGATGTTTTCAGGCTATGACAGCACAGTACCGGACACAACTTGGCGTATTATGTCCACTCTCAATATGCTAGGAGGAAGGCAAGTGGTTGCTGCTGTGAAATGGGCAAAGGCAATACCAGGTTTGTATATGTATTACATGAATATAGACTATACTTCCTTAATGTAAGTGTGTTTTGTAAGGCCACATTCTGCTCCTAACCATGGTAGGCCTGGATGATGAATCAATACATTGCCCAGGACCGGTATGAGGACCAATATACCCAGTGGTATATTGTGGGTGAAGCCGCTTCTGCTGCCGAGTCCCTCTGCTGTCAGCGCCCAGTGTGAGAGGGAGGAACAAGCCACAGTGCGTCTCTGCAGCAGCAGTGATTTCACCTGCAACATGCTGCCAGGTGAATCAGCCATTGCGCTCTGGCCATCATGCAACTTGTTCTTCCCTCAGCTGCCCATGCAGGTAGGCAGCTCCTTTAAACTTCTCTACTTAGTGGCTGCCTGCCCCTGAATGGAGAATTTTAAAGGAGCTCCAGCTCGCGCAAGCTGGAGGCAAGGTTGGGGCTCCGTTACACTTGCGGGAGCCCTGCGAACAGAGGCTCCCTCCATCTTGGGGCAAGCAGGAGAAAGAAGCCTCCAGCCTGCGTGGGTGGGGCCCCCAGCTGAACAGCACAAACAAGCTGAGTTGTCCCTGCCCGTGAGGCACTGGGGTGAAAGTGCCTCTGCTCCCATGGCGAGAGCTGCAGCAATTTCACCCTGTTCATTGCGGGCTGGGGCCAAGCAGCATAGTTCACAATCGTGGCTTATCACCAGATTGTGATGTTGAAAACCAAACATTGTCCAGCCCTAAATCACGGGCTTCTTATCTTACTCCATAGAGAAAGGTTCGGTTTCCTGGTTTCCATTTTGTAACAGCATACAGTGGTACCTCAGGTTAAGTACTTAATTTGTTCCGGAGGTCCGTTCTTAACCTGAAACTGTTCTTAACCTGAAGCACCACTTTAGCTAATGGGGCCTCCTGCTGCCACCGCACCGCCGGAGCACGATTTCTGTTCTCATCCTGAAGCAAAGTTCTTAACCCGAGGTAATATTTCTGGGTTAGCGGAGTCTGTAACCTGAAGCGTATGTAACCCAAGGTACCTACCTCCAAAATGACGCAGAGATAAATTATTCCCTTACTGTTAATTGTTGTGGCTTGCCATGAAAGGAAAAAAATGAAACAAGAACTAATACTAGGATTGGAAAGTCTCATCAACTTCTTCCCTGGCAGGGAAAAGATTAAACACTCTTTTCCTTAATGTTCCTTTTCCAGTGGAAATCGCCTCTTCCAAAGAGCATTATACAAAGGAGAGAGCTTGGTTACATTTCACTGCAGTATATCAATTGCAATTTGCATATTTATAGATATTAATATGTCTCTTATTAACATTTATTGCTATTTAGCATTACTATTTCATAAAACTATTTTGAATTTTATGTCCCTTTACTGAATTTTTGATGCATTTTGACTCTGGACCCTTTTAAGAAGTCATTCTGAACTTTAAGATTCAAAATAACACTTTGGACAAGCAGTACTTTAATTACAACAGGAAATGTGCTAGATCTTGTACCTTTTATTTCCAATCAGGTTTCAGAAACTTGCATCTGGATGACCAAATGACACTTCTGCAGTATTCGTGGATGTTTCTGATGGCTTTTGCCCTAGGATGGAGATCATATAAACAGGCTAATGGAAGTTTATTGTGTTTTGCACCAGATTTGATCATCAATGAGTAAGTAGTATTCAAGTCCTTTTCCCTGTGTTTCTAAAGCTTGGCTACACTTCTAGAAATGTGTTCTTATAACTTAGGTGCACAATGAGTACTATAATTGTGTATAAAGACTTAGCTTATAAAAAACAATTCCTTATTTATTTTTGAATTTGAATATTTCAGTAACTTGTACTGCTTATAGAAAAGTAGAAATGAAGGTATTAGAAAAATCTCTTTTGTCTTTTACTTTAATAATGCATAACTACATCTGGCTGTTGGAAATGATAACACCACAGTGGTGTTCTTCCTGTGCAACACAAGTTGGCAGGATGAGAGCCACTGTGGTGCAATAGTTAGGAAGTGTCATACTATGACAAGGGGCACCCAGGTTCAATTCAGCATGAAGCTCATAAGGAGACCCTAATGTGCATGTGTTAGTTGACAACCTAATTTGGCTAAATTTAAATTACCAGAAGCAAGCCAAAGGTGAGGTGGGGAATGATGAGTAGGGTTGGTTAGGTTTGTTTTGCATCGTGATGGTGTCCACAGCAGGATGGTAGTAGTCGGGGGGGGGGGCACAAAATATGTTAGAGATGTCTCCCAGTAAAATAGTTGTTAGAATATATGCACAATCCATCTCCACTTTATGATGCTTTGAATATATTAACAAGGTTACTTTTGTGAGTACTAGGGTTAGGCCACAATTCAATTGATTGGTCAAATATACCTATTAGAGTGCCTGTCTACTATTAATAAATATTCAACTAAGCAAAGAATATATTTAGATTTGTTTGTTACTGTTTAGGTTTTTCTTTTGCTCGTTATAGCAGTATGCTATTTGGGTACCCTGCATTTCACTATTAGATGAAATAACTGGTGCTATTTCTGGTCCTATGCACAGTTGTGCTGAGAATCCAAAATGGGGGAGGGTAGGCAGATAGTAGAACAAAGGATAATACCGGCGGGTTGAAATGGCATAACATTGACCTTTTACTGAAATTATACAAATTGATAAAGGCTGAAGGCCACAGAGGATACACTCCTCTGGAGACTAATTTCTCTCTTTCCCTTTGACCTGTGAGATTTTTCCACAGACTCCGCTTCTCACATTCTAAAACTGCCATCTTTCATAGTGCATGTTTAATTCTAATTTTGAAATGCTCTAGCTTACTGACACCACAATAATAATAGTTCCATTATCATACCTCTATATTTGTCTTAACATTATTTGTTGACAACTATGAACTGATATTGTCTGGCTATGTTGACCTCGTTTTTGCATATGTGAATCCTTTTGTCATAATAAGTTAAGAGCATTAAATGTTCCTTCCACTCAAATAAACTCTTCCCTTCAGATGCCCTTTGCAGACAGTGTTTCACATAATAAATGGTGACACTTCTAATACATGTGATACTGTAGCACAGAATCCTAGTAACACAGTAATGGTATTTGCATGGCACTGTAACATTGCACAACTGAAAAAAGCTCTGAAACAATAAGTAACTAAGTGCTAAATCTTAACACATCTGTTATTTCTGTATTTTGTGTGAGAACAGTCTGTATATTTATTCCTCAAAAGCAAGCCTTTTTACATTTTTGTAACATTTCTGATGGTGGTAGATATTTTATGCAGCAGGGCCAGAATAGTCAGTTGTGGGATGTTCTCACCACTTTCTGTAGGCACTTGGTGCAGTTTCATGAAAAAATTACATACTGTAACAACATAGGTAGATTCAGTTTACGGCAAATCTCGTTGCCCTACAAGGATCTTGATGAACAGAACTTGACCTGGCTGTTAAAAAAAAAAAAAAAGCTTTCTCAAGTGTTGTGTTATTCTAGTCACACAAATAGAAAACTTGTATCAAATTCTATTGAGCAACTACAAAAACGATGGACTATGATCTCATCCTTAATGACTTTGTTCCTCCCTGAAGAAGCCTGTCTTGCATGTTGACCTACAGCACTGTAATCTTCATTACTTGCTTTAGTGGACAAATAATTTCTTCTACTGTGAGGCTTCTTCTCTTTTGCTACAGTGCATTTTGACTGTTTTATCCTTCATTAACCCAATCTTGACCCAAAAGAAACAATGCATCAGTTTGATATTGTTTGCGTCAAAAATAGAGGCTTAGTATAACCACCTGTATACTTTGAAATATGACGGTTTCCCAATGAAACACAGTATGTGGAAATTCTATATCAGTCCCTGTATTGAATGCAAACAGTGATTTTTAAAGAAAAAAACCTGAGTGATAAATTTATCATAGTTAAATTTATTGTTTTTTATTCTGTTATGTGGATTGAGAAGAAAGCTGAAAAAGTAGCTTACTGAGATATACTGTGCTTTTCCTGATTCTGATTATTGATGCTGAGGTTTTCTGGTTAACCCACCATATATGTGAGGGCGATCTGGCTGTGACATCTGTCACCCCATTGATCACCAGGGTTGATTTGGCTGGCTAGGCAGGTGTCCCCTTCCATATATAGGAACATAGGAAACTGCCTATACCAATCAAAATGGTTTTATTTATTTCTATTATTATTAAAATTGTATACCGCCCTATACCTGCAGGTCTCAGGGCAGTTCACAGGATAAACTTCATAACTTAGATGGCATTTAAATAAAGCATATAAGTTAATATAAACCCTCCACAGAAGATTGATGCCTGTATGAAATGAGCTCTTCAGATCATAGTGTAATAGATAATGGATTTTTGTCCTTGCAATCTCGAAGTAGAAGTCTCTTAGCCACCATAAGAGCTAACACAATCCACTTTTTCTGCCCACCCATTAATGCTACAGGGATATAGTTTTAAAGTACACGATCATCTGCAAATACCAAGGATTTCACCAATATAAAATTGATAAGGGTAGCAACTTCAAACAAAAAGGAATATATTATACTACAAAAACACACAAAAGGTTAAATAACAGGAAGTATCGTAATATACCCACCACCTTTCATTAACATTATTTCCAAGAAAATACTGCTGCAGCCTTTTAGTCAGCATCTACATTTACAAGAGACTATGAGGTGCTGCTTACCCAGCTGACAGGAAACTGCATGCAGAGAGACTGTAGTCTTAGCCAGCTCCATTGGCCTGTGCTGTTTTGCTGACTCCACATGCATAGTCCTTGTTATGCAGCTTGATGGATATCTATGCACTTCTAGTTCTCTGAAGTGAAGGTCTAGGAATAAGTGAGAAAAGGAGAGATACATGAATTAAAGGTTCACCACTTTCAGTCTCATTTAATGAGGTTAAATGAAGCATCTGATAAGTGAATTTGTGAGAAATATAGGTGCTTCTCAGAGTAGTTTGTGTATTACAGGAGGGTATCTGCCTTTTCAGACTTTTACTATAATGGGAATGCAGAACAGATGTATTGGCACTAGTTTAGGCGTATGGCTGGCACTTCCATTTGAGCTTGGGAGGAGGGACAGACCTCTGTGGAAGAAGTAATCTAGTTTCCCAGTAATTTTTACTCCTTGGAATGCTGATCATTTCCCTGAATATTTGAGTATTTCAATTTTCTTAACGTCAGTGTACCGGTTTAAGGTATAAATTGCACAATGAAAATGTGACTATTTCTGAACTCCTAATTCCTGTATCAGTCCATAATGTCTTGCTTTAATCAGTCATGGATGCAATATCAGAGCTTATCTCCCAGCCAAGTGTTGTTTGCTAAAATCCCTTAACAAAGCGCTCGCTCTGTGCGTGTGTGTCTGTGTATGAGAGAAACAGGAAATACAAGTTGGTAGGCTACTGTATCTTATGAGACTTGCAAGTGGCATGTAGTACAGCCTGACTTGCATAAACTCTGTATTGCACAATATAAATTTCCATTAGTGATGGTGTAAATCTTTTCCACCTCCCATTTGCTAATTTAATTTCACACCTATGGATAACTGTTGGTTAGCCAATAATTTTACTAATGGAAATTATCTATGACCTCTCATCTATTAAGCAAAAAATAATTTCAGGTAATTTATCTAGCAAAATAAGAATACACAGGGCTTTATATAACCTCTTCTACCAAAAAAGCTGTAGCCCTCATAAACTAAAATTACTCAAGGAGCCTGCATAGTAGCCATCCGTCTCAGTGCATTAGGTAGGGGAACCTGGAGAATGACCTCTGATGAGGCATTGCAGAAGTAGCTTTGCCCCAACTCATTTAGGTTATTAAACGTTTAAACCAGCACTTTGAATTGGAACTGGAAACTGACTACAAGGTACTACAGATGATCAAGCACTGGTATGATATAATTATATTTATAGGGTCCCATTCATTCATTCACTCACTCACTCACTCATTCATTTTTTTACTACTACTTCATTTATATGCCGCCCATCTGACTGGGTTGCCCGAACAACTTTGGGCAGCTCCCCATCCATAACTTAGTCAACCTGTTTTGGACCAACTGAAGCTTCCAGACTGTTTTTGGAGGGTAGATCTGTGCAGAATGCATTGCAGTAATCTGAGTGGTAGGTTACCAACCTATGGCTATAGCAAGTTAGCTGAAGCAGATGTAAGGCAATTTGTAGAATGAAAAATTGGACCACCAAGATTATATTTATGTTCTGAATAGATAGCTCTGCTTAGGAACCCATAGTCTAAGCTATTCAAAAATAAATATACATACTCAGAATAGGAGCAAGTGTATTCACATAACATATACCACAGGGAGGAAGTGGGAATTGTAATTGCAGGGTAGTTATAATGTAATTACACTGCAGATTTGCTGTAGCACCATATCATTACTAATTATTCATTTTCCTAGAAGAGAAGGTTAGCTGTAGGAATGTTACTCACTGTTCATGCTTATTTTATATAATTATTCTCACTTGTGCACTTTAAGGCCACAGTTACAAGTAGTCCCTATTCCCAGTGCTCCTTAATTGCACAGTGCAGCTATTTAGCACAATTTAATGGTCAATATCAACTGGTTAGGAAACAGTGGTTGATGAAACTTAACAATAATCAAACACTTCTCCAAATTCAAAGTACTCATTAAAACAAAAGCTACCCATTAAATTTAGCTGCCAGCTTTCCCCAAGCTGATGTCCTCCCCATATTTTGCACTTCAGATCCCATCGTCCATGACTATTGGCCATGCTTGCTGAAGCTGATGAAAGTTGGGAGAGCCAAAGATCTGGAGACCATCAGATTTGGAAAGGCTGACTTGAGCTATTCTGATCCCTCTGGAAACTCATAAGATGGCCATGAAGGAAATAGGCTTTTCATGTTGGTTGTCCCTAGCATCTGGTAATTTATTTTATTGGAGATATGCTTGTTCTGCTTTTTGAGAAAATCCTTCACAAAGCATCTTACATATTTCATAAAAGTTTTTCTTAAAAAAGCAGCTGTTAAGTGTAGTGTAGTGGATAAAGTGCAGGATTAGGACCCGGCATAGCAGTTTTCAAATCTGTAATCAGCCATGAAGCTTACTGGGTGAACTTGGGTATAACTGACTTCCGGTGTTATGTATGCCATCTGGAGCTTCTTGCAGTCAATAATACATAAAATTAGAATAAACAGTAACATTAAAATAACCAGCACAACACAGAAATGATTTGACCCTACCCCAGTTAACTACCATCAATCCATATCCTCACCCATCTGGTGGGTGCTGAAGCAGGCCTTCTGAACTAGATTTTAAGATATAGACACTACTACATGGGTGCAGGCGGATCTTTGAATAATATTGAACTAAGCTGTTTGGGGCTTTAAATATATTAATGAACACTTTGCATTGAGTTTAGAAACACAGTTCAGCACAAAAAACACTAGAGCAGTGCGACATATGTTGGGCCAGTAGTTGGAACTATTGGAAAGGGATTTTTTTTGTGGATTTTATGTTTAGGGCTCAGATGGAACCTTCAGCAAATTACTTCTTCCTCTGCTTTTAGTGTTGAGTTGGCTGGTTGACTGATTTGATTTTAAAAGATTGCCTAAAGGTGGAAAGGCAGGATATCATTCAAGGTGGTTTGCAAACATAATGCCATTTACAAGGGACTGTGCAAGGTCCAGCTCCCTGCACCTGATGTTTGTTCAGGTTCTGGCAGCCTTGGGGGCAAATAGCAAGTCCTCCTCAAACCAAATCTGAGAGCAGAGCCAGAAAATGTGCCCAGGATCAGGAGGTCATAGCAGCTCCTGTCACATTCTTCTTCCTACGTTGCCGCAGCAAATGTGGGGTCACAGAGTCAAAGGATTTTGGAGTTGCAAGGGATCTAGTCCAACCCCCTGCAATGCAGGTATATGCAGCTGTACCATACACAGATTGAATAAGCAACATTGCTGTTATCAGCACCATGCTCCAAACAGCTGAGCTATGCTGAAATAACTGCCCAAGATTACTAAATAAGTTCAATGCAAGTTACTTGTCTCCATCTACTCCAGCAGTCTATTTCCAATAGTGGCCAGAAAATTGCCTCTGGGCAGCTTACAAGCAAGGCATTATGGCAGTTGATGTCACTGGCACCTGGTATTCATAGGTGTGCTGTCTCTGAACAAAGAGGTTCTATTTAGCCATTGTGGCTGATAGGATCTTCAATGGTCTGAGCAGCTTTGGGTGGATTGAACCAAGGAAAGGTATAGTGGGAACAGTTTAACAGGGATGGATATCACCCCCATGTTTTGAAAGTGCCAGTACCTCTCCCTGTTCATTTGTATTGGGGAGGAGTTATACTAGCTCTCACATAAAGTGTGTACTGCATGATAATTGTGGCAAGTAATGATACAGGATTCTAAAATTGCAGGCTTTCAAAGCATCTAAAATATGACCTACAGCTTAGCACATCTTGAGTCTCAAAGCTACACCCCACATCCTCTTCAAGCAGAAACATATCACAGGGTGTGGGCCTTTCTGCTAGCTACACCCTGTTGTCAAAGTGCAAAAGGGATATAAATTTGAAAATAGAAAAAAGCAATATTAATTCAACAAACGCAGTTCTAAAATTGAACTGATCTTGCTGTTTTCTTAGCCATTAAAAAATATCAGTATTTTATCAGTAAATACCAGTATATAAAATATCCAGCCCAAATATAAGGTGAAATAAAGTCCTAAGAATTGGCTTAAACTCTAAAGACAAAGGGGAGACGCTTACATTAGTAACCTACCTTCCTTTGTGGCCAGCCTGGAAATTCAAATATCTTCTCAACAGGCTAGTAGATCAGGGAAAGCGCTAATAAACTGGCTTCCTTCCTTCAATGCCATCCCCAATCCCATGGATTGTCAGAGAAGGAGTAGAGGGTTTTGTTCCTCCTCTGCCAACCCACTCTCATCGGTATGGAATTCCTTCCTGGTTATCTATGGCTACAAGTCTAGTTGTTGTTTTTATTGTGTTGCCTTGTTAATAACTTATGCCAAGACGATTTGTAAATAATGGAATACAGTTATACCTTATGCGCCACTGCAGGTTGCGAACGTGCATCCCGCATGGAACACGTTCGCAACCCGAGTGTCCACTGTATGGGAGAATCCATAAGTGCAATAAGTTTTAAAAGGAAAAGATTGTATACTTATACAGCAGAAAGGTCAGAAGGGAAATTCTGTAAATATCTATTTTACCCTTCATGATAAAATACCATTTTACTATTATGAGTAAACCTTTCACAATAATATTAAAACTGCAGTTTATTTAAAGGCGTTGCTTTGCAACTTCATTTGGAAAAAGTATGTGTATCTTACTAGCCTATAATTTCTGGAATTCATGTAAATAGAGGCATCTCCTTACTGGTAAACAAGATACAAATTAATTTCTTTTGTACTGATTCAGATGTGTATATTCTATTTGCTCCTCAGGCAGAGAATGAATTTACCCTGTATGTATGAACAATGCAAGCGTTTGCTGATGGTTACTAATGAATTAGCACGTCTTCAAGTTTCATACGAGGAATATCTCTGCATGAAAACCTTGCTGCTTCTCTCTACAAGTACGTGAACATTGGTGATTCCTCTTTTTTTTAAAAAAACAACCAAAACCACTTTTTAAAGAGTTCTCCTTCAACACTGATCTGGGAACTGAATTTAGAACTCTCAGATCCACTTTATTAGAGAGTTCTGTGGCCACCACATTTTGTCAGTCTTGGGTCAGCATTTGTGGACCTCATAAATGATAGTCCAAAAAGCATGTTAAAATTATTTTGAAATTAACAATTTGTCACAATATCTATTGGACCAAACCGATTTTGCCACCAGAAATAACTAAAATGTTCAATTCTTAAACTGGTTCAAGCTTTGTGGTAGCTGGAGAGCTGATGAAAGTAGCAGTTTGCACATAAATGCTTGGACAAGGAAGCTCTGTTCAGACTTAAGTTGACTCTGATAATAGGTATGAGTCTCTGGTATGTTCAAAGCCCAGTAGTGTCCTGTGGAGGAGAAATTTGCAGAAGCTTTTTCAGTAGAAGGGAGTTTTATTTTTCTAGGTACACTAGAAGAATAAACAGAATCAATAGCCATTTATTTCTTCCTGGAAATACAACCATTTGGAGACACGGTTGATGGATGAATCCAGGAAACATTAATCTCCATGGTGCAAAATCTTACAACCATACTATGTCTATGGACAAGGTCACTTAGAATTTCCTATAATTTGAGAGGTTTGTGCACAAGTGTGGGTACTGGTTTTCCTTGTGCTACATACTGTCTTAGACTACAAAACCAAAACGGCCTTTTAATGGTGTTATTCACAATACTTATTTTATGCAGAAACTCTGAACTCTCTGCAATTGTCTGCATAAATATCCACAATTTAAAACCATGATTCTAACTTCTCTTGTCTTGGTTTACGGTAAATAGAAACATCCTGTTGTAGGACGCTTACAAACTCAGGTAATCTAAAAACTAATCTCAATATTTCAGTTCCTAAGGAGGGCTTGAGGAGTCAGGCTCTGTTTGATGAAATTCGTATGACCTACATCAAAGAACTGGGGAAAGCTATAGTGAAGAGAGAGGGAAACTCGAGCCAGAACTGGCAGCGATTTTATCAACTGACAAAACTTTTGGACTCCATGCATGATGTAAGTTTTGCTTCCATACATTGATTCTGTGCAATTTGAGGATCGTACCAATGTGGATGAAACCTGGCCAATGAAAAAGCCATCTAGGCACAGCTTTCCTGATTGTAAAGCTAAGGTTCTTCAGAAAGGTACCTTTCTGGACTCCCACTGCCCCTTCTCATTGATTGTAAAGTATTCCAGTAAGTAGGGATGCAGGCAAAGAAGACATTAGTGCGTCCCTCACAGGGCCACTCTGCCACCAACTGCCCTGTGGGAAGGATCCTGATGGCATTTTATATGTCAGTATTTCATTGTGGATTTTTATAACAAGAGTTTTACTCATAAACAGCTTTGAAATCTGATTTAAGCCAGCATTCTTTTGTCAGTTTTAATTTGTGCTGTGATATATTTAACGTCTTGCAGCATTTTATATATGCTACACTGTATTGATAATTCATGCTCCCTTTAAGAAATTATTCTCTTATCATTTGCAGGTGGTTGAGAATCTTCTAAGCTTTTGCTTCCAAACGTTTTTGGATAAATCCATGAGTATTGAATTTCCAGAAATGTTGGCAGAAATCATCAGCAATCAGTTACCAAAATATTCAAATGGGAATATCAAGAAACTCCTATTTCATCAGAAGTGACTGCCTTAATACAGAAATAATGCCTTAAGGAAAAAAAAGTCAATTATAGCTTCTTTTTTACAAACTAAAAGACTTGTTAATTTTGTCCTTGCAACTATATTGGGTGTTCTTGTTTTTGTTTTGTAATTATGCACTACATGTGGTTTACAGAGGGCCAAGACCTAGGTTTCAGAAGCAGATGCCTCAAACTGAATGATTACAGGAAGAAGGAAAAGAAGGAAATATGATTTGGGATTTTCCCTCCAGAAACACCATCATATTCACAGGATAGGATATACCAAAACAGCAGTGTCAAGTTCAGAATCTACATTGTCAACATTCTGCTAGGAATTTCTGCAGTTGGCTGGATAAAATTTTCTAGGTTTTTGTTTTGGTATAGATTTTTTGTATAGTTAAGGTAGCATTTTGATTTATGCATGTAACATGAAGAAAGTTTACAACTGTATATCGGAAAAGGGAAGTTGTGCCTTTTATAGCTATTACTGTCTGGTTTTAGCAATTTCCTTTAACTTTATATACAGTGAACTAAGCTTGCTCATTTTTTCTTACATAATTTTTGTAAAACGTCAAGATGCCTATTGTACAGCTGTTTTTTTAAAGTGGGGCAGCTCATAGCTTAATGACCTCTAGATATTAATCTTTTAAGTATACTCATGTGAATATAGGTTGACTTTTCTAACCTGATCAAGACTGTCATAGTCACCTTTTAGATGTCACCTTTTAAATTTGGCCTATAAAAATCAGCTTTCTTCAGTGGCGGGGGTGGGGTGGGAGGGGTTGAAATGTAATCCAAATCTAACCTGAACACTGGACATGCATACTTTTGATATTGGTCAAAGATTCTGTGAGCTACTTGCAAACTAGCTCTGTCTTAAACAGGTTTGTCAACAGAAACTTTTTTTTTTTTAAACAAAGCATACTAGATATTTACATTTAATGTGATAGCCATAATTGTAAGATTCTTGGGCTGGATTGACAGTAAAATCATCAGTCTTGACTGCCCATCAGGAAACCTTCAGGAAAATATGCATAATTGTTTAAAAGTTTACTTCTACATGGAAAAAATAACTTTTTCCATACTCAGTCTATTGCCATATGAGTGTGTACTTCTGTGTGCATCAGTGTATATTATATATACAGTGGCCACAATCCAGAGCAGCTGTCATAACGCAGAACAAAACTGATGTGCACCAAAATTGGCATGTCTGCTGTTCTCCTTGGACATAACTGAGAAGTAGCAAAACCTGTGCTTTTTTAAATTATTTGGAGGACAATATTGATGATCAGTTCATCTTTTTTCCCCACAAGTGCAAAGCTGTGCAATTGCCTCCTTAAGTTTCTCAGAATTGTTGGATTACAGCCAGTGTTGCCATTCCAGAGAATCTGCTCCCTCCAACCTAAGATGTGATTGGCACTGCCACTTCTTATAACCTATGGGGAAGGGGTTGGAGGATGGCAAGGCTGTCTTAGAGATGATAGTACTGCAGCTCATGCCTCACCAGTGCAGTAGTGCCCCGAGTCCTGAACACACACACCCGAGCCTACCTTTGCAGCACCTTTTGGACCCCAGTAAAGCAGAACAATAAGTAGAAAGAAGCCAGTTTCTGCTTGTGGATCACTCCCTGGATTGGGCAAAATCTTGACTCTATTTTTAAGTTGATGGTTAATTTCTGTTGACTTCAATAGTCAGGAACTCTATATGTGTATATACATACACGTATACATACTTTATATAAATACATATACATAAATATCATTGAATTATAAAAAAAATGTAATTATGCCCAGTATATATTATGTTTAGTATTATAATGATTCTTAAAAGATTTTACTTCAAGTAAGATTTTTACCTTTATGCAGAAAATAAAATAGACCAAACTACAGAAAGAAACAAATCTTTTCTGGAAAATAAAAACCCTAAACTTGTGTTCTTACACACCCATTTTCACTTCATTCATCACCCAAACAATCCTATCTTGTTTCCTGGAGAACACGAAAATTCCGCTACTGATTTAGTGGTGTAGACTAGAGCTTTGTCTCTGTACGTCTCCCAACCCTTCTGCATCAAACTACTAGTGTGCCATAAAAACAACCACCATATAAGTCTTGTGAATTTACAACCATGTAAGTCTTGTGAATTTTTCCTTGTCGTCATTGATTTATATTTTAAAACAATTTGCAAGCTGTAGTAGCCTATCCTCTGAGCACCTTAGGAATTCTCAGAAAATTGTAAATGCTACGCCACTCAAAAGAAAGAAAGAAAAAATATTTTTGTTCAAAGTGGCCTGGATATTTCTGTAAAAAGAAATTAATGGGGGTTTAATTACTTAACAGGAGTTAACAATCAAAATGTAATATGATGCTACTAATATTTTTTTAGTTATATTTTCAAATAGATATCATTTGGTAGAGTTTGAAAAGGAAGGAAGGGCTACTACAGCTTTAAAAGCAATTTATCAAATTATTGTAAAATAGCTTGTATAGTGTATCATAAGAATGGTTTTTAGATGACAGATTGCTTTATCATGACATGTGATATATTTTTTCTAGGGGTCACAAATGTGTTAAATGGTAACCCATACAAATTGTGGTTTGTCTGGAAGTATTAATCCTGGCAGCATTGTTCTGAAGTATCTAAAGAGGTACTCTAGTTTTACTTGGTGTGTTTCTATTGTTTGTTTGTTTTTATCCTTTTCCTTTTGCTTTCCTTTTTGTTTTAAAGGCACTTACCCATATTCGGTGGGAGTTCCTCGGGCTGAAACCTAAATCCATTAGTCCGCTGTAAGAAAAACACGGGAGCTGGAGGTTGAATTTAATTGCCCAGCCCGTGCACTTGGTCCCCTCACATTCCAGGACTAAACCTGCAGCAGATGTGCAGGTTTATTTGACCCTTCCCCCTATCCCACCCCCCAAAAAATAAAGTAGTGTGTTCGTATGTCCACACTTCTCTATGTATGGGGTTACTTTCACATATAGCCTCACAGAGCACCGCAAAACAGTGAGACAAATTTGGCAGTTAAAATGCATACAGGTACCAGCAATATGTAAATAATAGAGCATAGGTTGTTCACCGTCTACTAAATACATTTCTAATTATTCAACAAAAATGCTCCTGGTAAAATAGGAGTTTTTACCAGAACTATCTGTTTTTAAATCTTTTTTTAAATAAACAACAACACCAACGACAAACGTTAAGCTCATAAATGGAAATCCCCAGCTACTTTCAAGTAAAATACTACCTTTTAATAACAGTAATCATTCTTTTTGATCTCTGTGCAGTCCCACAATTGGGTGCTGCACCTATGCATAGCATCTTGAGAACCTTACAGAGCTTTTGTCAAGTAACTCATCCTCTGGTGCTGCGAGCCTCTTTGCAATTATCTGGGGTGGGGAGGGGAGGGGAGGGGAGGGGGGGATAGGGCAAGCGCCACCTCCTTGAGAATGTGCTGCCTGCGTTTCTCTCTGTGAACTTTTCCACAGGAGCACCAGCTCCCTGGCTAGGGCTCTAGAAGGTTCTAAACATGTTCTGCATAGAAAACAGTTGTGTTATGCACAGATGACCACTCAAAGGATACCAGAAACAGGTAAGAAACCTGTCTCTCTTCTTGAATAAGCTCTTTAAAGTATGTATGTTTTAACAGTTAATCTAAGCTTCAGAGAGTATTTTAACATTAGTTTGCAAACCATTGGGATGAAAACGTGTATTCTGCCTGATTTTAGTTAATGCTAAGAGACTCAAGTATTTGGTTTCAAAAAGGTTCCTGAAAAGATAAATCATGACACCCTGTCTTTATTTCAAAGGAAAATTTGGAAAGTTGAACTTGGGCACTGATGTGTAGTAAACATTTTAGTCCAAGTTTAAGGAAGCTAGCACTGCATCCATGGACAAATGTATGTGTGGTGGTTTACCTATACAAGTGAGGTATACAGAAATCAATATTATGACTATGTGCAAACAAGTACTTCAGCGGTGGAAAAGAGGCTCAAATTCTTTTGATTTCATGTATTTTTGCTCAGTTTTTGGACTTTGATTTCACTTTTTAAAAATGCTGATTCTGGAAAAGAACTTTCAATTTAAATGTGCTGTTAAGAATATAAGTACAAGCCATTTAAAGTACATAAGCATCAGCAAAAGGTATGTTGTTTCTTGTCTGGCTAGTCTTTTTCATGCTGGGGAAAATCAGCACTTCAAATAAAGCAGGGAATATTCTGACTTCTGTCTCTTCAGTGCCTTGCCACAACATGCTAACAGAAATAAGATGGGTAGCCCCAGATATGCATGCTGTATGTTAGAATTGCACTTGGAAACTAATAGGAATGGCCTTTCATAGGATATGTTAGGGCATGCAAGCGGAGAGAGGAGATTTTATCACTTATACACCACTAAAGTAACTGAGAGCCTTAGCCTTAAGCCTGAGCACACTTACTTCGAAGTAAGTCCTATAAAATCTTTGGGACTGACTTCCAGGCAAATGTGCTTAGGATTGGTTTGCCAATCTTGCCAGCCGTACCGTATTAAACCAAAAATACAGCATTGAGTTTCCTTGAAAACAGCAGAGGCTGAGAAAGTGCGCACAACTGGGGGAACAAGTGCCAGCCTACCTTAGGAACACAGCCACTTAACTTGACAAAATAACAGCGTATTAGGAACAGAGGTGGGAAGAAAGCAGATGGTGGAGAACTGAGAACCGAGGCTAGTCCCATTTACCATATTCATATACGCACATCATGTGAAGCGATTACAAATATGCAGGCTCACAAGATAGGATAGCACATCTTCATTTTGTTCAGCATGCAGAAACTCAGTGGGGCCTTAATTCTTCAACCTAGTGTGTATTCCGATGCTGATTATGCAAAGAACTTAACCCTTCTACACTTGCAAAGAATGAGTTAAATCAAATGCTGTCAGGCAGAACCCGTTTTAGTTTTTTTAAAAAATTAAGTACTATTTACAAAACCATATTAAATGTACAGGTGGATGGTAGCTGGCGGGATGGGGAGGTCTGTAATTTCTACAGCTCTTAACATCTCCTTTGAGAGATGCACCCCCCCCCCCCCGCTCCAACAGAAAAGCTGGGTCCAGAGCTACAGGTGTGTCTGCAGACAGTGTCTTCTGTTGACAAGTAGTGTTATATACTTTAGTGCCAAAGTAAAGTGAAAATAAATCCAAAGACGTTCTTCCGCTTCGTCGAGCAGAAGCCCAAGAACTTTTTATAGAACCTACCTGACATACTGTTACACAAATGCTTTCCCTGGTGCTGTGTAAGCTTTTGGACATAAGAGTTAAAATTTTAAAATTAACTTGGGTAGTTAATGCCTCCTTAGCTTTACTGTTGCAACAGCACTAAGTTGCTGTTCTGGTGCTTACACAAAGCTTTTATCACAGTGGGGCTGTTTATGCCCTGCGTGACATGTCAGCGAATCCTTTTGGAACACCCATAGAAACATGGGGTGGTATTTGGACATCACAGAACAACAGGCTCCCATGATTTTCAGCAAATGCATGGCAAATGAAATCGATGTCAGGGGAGGGGGAAACCTTTTGCATGTTTTGACTAGCCCATGGGGCCAGTTCTGGCCCCTCAAGTGTAGGAGGGTTGAGACATCTGAGGAAAGGGTGGCAAGGCCCTGGCATTTTGAACCCACTGCAAGATAAAGTATGTGCTTAAGTACTTTGTGGAAAGGGACCAGAGTCTCCAGCCTCTTTCAGAATTGAGCCTCATCCACCACTGCCTGGTCAATATTAAAACCAATTGGGCACAATTGCCCTGAATGTACACACATTTTTATGCTACTGCTGTCAATGTAGGAACCATACTTTTAAGCAAGAAATAGAGCCTCATATTATTGGAAAACACTGAAGGGCCCTTTTTGAGGCTTTTGTTTGCTGGTAAAAAGGCTGCGTGTGTGAAAATAGCCTCCTTTCGCCCCAACCCCCCAAAACCATACAAGCCCTGGCTTAATAGCACGGATTCAATAGTGTGTCAACGTTCTATTTTGTATATTATACAAAAGATATATAATGGGGACAAATCCTATATTATGCTGGTGTATGGCATTATTAAAAAGCTTTTTTTGTTATTTTTATCACAGTAATTTTAAACAGTGTAAAAAAAATTAAAACAAGTGACTCCTGTTTAAAAATAAAAAGTTGTAGTTTTTTATTCATGCCGAATAACTCTGTAGTAACCATGTCTTTTCACCTACACAGTGAAATGTTGGATTGTAAAATCTTGTGTGGAACTGTTGAGCATTTATTTTTCATTTTAAATTTTGCTGTTCTATTAAATTCAAAGCCACACGTCTGTACAGAAGTTGCAGTAAATGTAAGCCATTTACAGCAATGCTGAATAATGGACAAAATGACATAATAAAAACCTGCTTTTTCATTACGTGTTCAAATACCCTTTGAAGTAGGGTTTTTCGTTTTGTTTTGTTTCTTGTACAGTGCATTGCAGATGGAGTTCAGCCTTCTATTAACCTACAAAAATTAAGGCTGCAATCCTAGAAACATTTACCTGGGAGTCTGTGTGTGGTTGCGTTAGAGTACTGTCAGTGAAAATAATACAAGCAGAAGCATGCCAAAAACTTTACTGAAAATTTATTTTTATCTTGCACACGAAACCCCTCCACCATCTTCTCCCCACCTCCCCGCTCCGAATTATCAGGGTGGTGACAGATTCTTGGAATTTCCAAGAGGGTTGAGGGAACAAGCACGAACAGAACAGTTTTATACCTCCTGAGAGCAGTTAATACCTTTTAAATATGACGGCAGTGACCTGACCCCACCCTTCCTTATCCCAGTGGGGGCAGATGAAGAATCCAGGAATTAAAGACGAGCAACCATTCTGCTTATTCCCCAAATTGAACACAAATAGAGCGCTTTCTGCTCCTTAAATAGCCTCCTGAGAATACAGTAATTCACTAAATGAGGAAAGCATGCAACAGGATTTTAAAAGAAATGTGTGTGTGAATGACAGAACCTGAGCTCCGTTGCCAGCTAAGTGAAACAAAACCTCCGGTCAGGGTTAAAGCAGCAGGGTTCACTGCAGAATGAGACAAAGGACTTTCTTGGATAAAATAAAAGCATTAAGTCACAAATGAGAATCTCACTGAAGCCACAGTTTTAAATTAATGGATTGGAACCAAGGCAACCAAAGCTGCTGAAAGACCGTGCTAATGACCTAAGTGAGTTGGCAAAACAACTTAATTTGTTTTAGAAAGAAACAAGTGGACAAATGCAGTTGCGCTTCTAATGAAATAGTTTGGTGAAATCTATAAAACAGTTGCCTTCAACTTTGCTAATGCCGCATTTAAATTGGAGCAGCACCTGCACTGAAATGCATAAAAAGAATGACAAAAATTCTATTAACTTGGGAGATTTGGAGGCTGCAGCCTAAGCCCCGCTTTAGCCTCCACAGAGATCTCTGCAGTGGCTTTCATTTACCTGGGAGTCAGACCCAATGACCTGTAAAGGACAGGCATGAGCAGCAGATTCAGACAGATCCCCCCCAAAAGTGGGGGCACTTTGGACAAATTTCAGGCTTGTCTGAGCTGAAGGGGGATCTCTCCAAAGCACCGAAACTGAAGTTGGGGACCTCTAAAGTGATTCAGGCCAATTCAGATGTTTCAAAATCTATACAAAAGGTGTGCTGGTAAAAATCGCCCTATTAGGCAAACATCATGGTGGTGTGAAGAGGTGACCATCTAGCTCTTTATCAGAATGATTCTACCAGGTCTCTGCAATCCCCATGCTTCGTGGAAATGTTCTTGAAGTGACATATCATCTTGTTCTTGTCTATCCTGTGTTCTTTGCAAGTACTGCTTGTTTTTAAAATGCTGGACATTCAAGTCCTTTTGCCCTTGTGCCACATTTGTTCCTCTCAAATCAGCATTATGAGTCGCTTGTGCGACCTTTAGTCCCATTCATCGTTACTTCCTAACCACTACATCCAGCCTCCTGAAATCTTGCTGCTTTCTTTCCTAGAGGCACCTCCATAATTTTTGCTATTTCCATAAATTCAAAACATTCTGGTTAACCTAGGTCAGGCATAGGCAAACTCGGCCCTCCAGATGTTTTGAGACTACAACTCCCATCATCCCTAGCTAACAGGAGCAGTGGTCAGGGATGATGGGAGTTGTAGTCCCAAAACATCTGGAGGGCCGAGTTTGCCTATGCCTGGCCTTGGTGTTTGATGCCTGAAAGACCCTGGTCACCTTGAAATGATGAATTATGATAGTAAGGTAAAGGTAAAGGGACCCCTGACCATTAGGTCCAGTCGTGACCGACTCTGGGGTTGCGGAGCTCATCTCGCTTTACTGGCCAAGGGAGCCAGCGTACAGCTTCCGGGTCATGTGGGCAGCATGACTAAGCCGTTTCTGGCAAACCAGAGCAGCGCATAGAAATGCCGTTTACCTTCCCGCCGGAGCGGTACCTATTTATCTACTTGCACTTTGACGTGCTTTCAAACTGCTAGGTTGGCAGGAGCAGGGACCAAGCAATGAGAGCTCATCTCATTGCGGGGATTCGAACTGCTGACCTTCTGATCGGCAAGTCCTAGGCTCTGTTGTTTAACCCACAGCATCACCTGTGTCCATGTTATGATAGTAGGCAATTGCTTTTATGAGTTTAACTCTTTTTAGAAGTTTCGGTTGGGTTGTATTGTTTTAGTATCGATATGTTAGCCACCATTGTCTGCTTTGCAGGAAGGGTGGGATATAAACATATTTAACAAATAAAAATATCCTGCAAGTCTTTAGTGGAAGAGGATATAAGCAGAGGGGCTATTTTTATTGTTAGAATATTTCCTTTTGAATTCTAAATTTCCTTTTAGAATATTTTGGAGTCCCTCCCAGAAAAATCAATCAGGTCAGCTAAAGCACAGTTAGTGATCCTTGAAATATTTGTAAAGCATGCTACAAATTCAAACATCCTGCTGCAATAAGAGGAGTGGTTTCTCAAGACTTAACTAGGCTTTGAGAGGAGGGTGTGTGGAGATGCAAACTGAAGAGCTGACTCATTCCAGGAAAAGACTTCTTGTTGATTATCTAAAACCAGATGGAATGGTTTGAGAGAAGCCCGCTGAGAGAGCATTTAAGCCAAACACTAAGAGTACGGTGCTAATGTAACAACATGTGAGCTGTTCCTTCTGCCTAGTATGGTATGTCTAAAAAGCCAAAGACTTGCACCCTGGTAGATGAACCAGACATAATAAATAAACTGCATTCCTGTTCTAAAAACAAGTATAAAATACAAAAAGCTGCCTTCAACCTTCCCCTTTTAAAACAAATTCCATGTACTTGGCCCTCTTATCTGCATTTTGGCACTTTGTCAGGGCTAGTTTTGAAAAAACAACGGGTTTTCTGGAATACGGGTCATGAGCATTGTCCGATCTTTAGAATATTTTGACTGGAGCTGCAGTCATTAAACAAACAAACAAAAATATTTTTGAAATAAGAATTATCCATACATTTTAATAATATGCTCATTAGGTAATGACAGAGGAAAGCTAGTCAAGCCGTTAATCCATCTATCTCAGTTTGGTCTACACTGACTAGAAGCAGCTCTCAACGCTCTCTTGAGTCCTACCTGGAGATGCCAGGAACTGAACCGAGGACCTTCAGAATACCCTGCAGATGCCCTATCACTAAGCTGCAGCCCTAAATTGAAGCCTCTGTTTGAGGCAAGGCAGAATCTTCATCCAATCCATGTGTCAAGGATCCTAAAAGGCCACACCCTCAGCAACAACAAGCCAGAGTCCAACAAGCTACTCCAGGCAAGCATGACCTGTGTATTCCTTTCCGCTCCCCCTTCCTACACTGCATTTCCTTGCACAGCTGGGGCTGCTACTGAACTTTGACTTTTATTTAAGTTCAAATCCTCTTACCAAAAAAAAAAAAAAAATGGGAAAAGAAAAAAAAGACTTCTTAGCTGTAAACTAAGGACAACAAATAAGCTCATCGGTACTTCTTCGGTTACATTTTCCACCAGGCTCAGCTTGTTTAGAGATGGAAGGGAGGCCGCCTGCTGGAAGAAAGGGCATCCCAAGCCCTGCTCTTTCATCCCACTCTTTGGAGGAGTTGGGTCCTGAATTTTGCAGTTCCCGGGGTGGAAAGCAACTGAAGGCCGCTTAAATTATGACGCAATCTGTCAGCTCCATTTTGAGTACAGCAACTAATGCACCTTTGCCATGCTAAATAAATATTCAATAATTAGCCCTTGATAAGGCAGTGGGCTCCATGGTTTTTTTATTATTTGGGGAAAGAAGTCGTTTTTGTCAGTGTCTTCACTGTGCCCTAAAACTCACATCTTCCCTGATTATTGGCCATGATGGCTTGGGTAAGATGGGAGAGCTGCAGGTTCACCATGACTGCTTTAAAAGCCTCCACCCAGCCATTCCTATTAGCACATTAATAACCAGCAGCCATTGGGAGCCAGATTATATTGCTTCATCTCTTCCCCAAGGTCACCCCACTCTGCTAATCTTTCTGTGCAGTGTGGGGAGGGAGTGGAACAACTTGCCTCATGAATTCTCACATCACATAAAGCCTTATTGCACCACCCCCACCCCCTAGAAACCTCTGGAAGTGAGGAACAAACTCCATGTGAAGCAGATGTATCTATTCTAAGCCATGCTATAGTACACCAGCAGTATGCAGATGTTGCTACGCAGAATCTATTTCAGTTGTGGCTGGGCTACACTTTATGTCAGTCCAACAGACACACACAACTAAATACTAATTAAAAGGTTATCACAATTCTTGGAAAGCACATGCTTATATATTAAAACCAGTCATGTTGATTGAATTCATGGAAGAACCTATGATAAGACCAGTGAACAGAGAGGTTCATTAAGCAGTAAATTCCTAGCCTTCTTGTATGAAATAAAACCAGCCATTATGAGAACAAGATCTGACCCCAGGAGTGAGCTGTGCTTCGATAGGCAACAGAATGCAATTTCAGCAAAATTCAGGGTGACTAACCTATGGGTTGCCATGTTATTGAACTCCAGCTCATTGGTCATTGATCAAGGATGTTGTGGGCTGTAGTCCAATAATACCTGGTGGGTAAGGAGTCACCCTGGGGTTGATAGAACTTCTACTGGATCTGACAAGATAAAAATTATGGACATTTTGAAATTTGAGAAAGGCAATTATCAAGCAGTAGATAGGATTGGAGTGGTGTTATTTTATAAGACTAGCCACCAGCCAGAATCTCTATTGCCAATATGTGGGTGATTTGCATGCTATATTAGCAAAGCAAAAGCCACAACACGGATGATCAATATTCACTGACCGCATGTGTGAAGGACCTATCACAAATTGATATTCCAATATAGAAATTCTGTATCATCATCTGATAAAGATATCACATTTAGCTGAGCATTGGCTGACCAACT